AGAGGTGGAAAAGAAAGCTAGCTGGATGAAGCAGCCTGTGGTATTAGCCAGCGGCCCTGTGGGGTCAGGTCATAGTTTGGGTTTGAGGCGATGTGACCTTCTGTCTTTCAAAAGGGCTGAAGATTGAGGGGGGGAGTGATGAAATGAGGAATGAAGATTTCATCATGCATCGATTGCTTCATCGACAGACATATAGAAGTCCCTTTTCCTGTAGAACATTGCATGACTTAAAACAGGTGTGTGGCTTCAATCAAGTGCCCTAAACTCTTGATTTGAGTAACTACACTAAAAATGAATGCGAAGTCACGAGATCACGCAGCTACGGGCGTGGTTTAGGTTTGTTCAAAACAAAGATGTCCGTCATTGAAGAGGTTAGCGTAGGTGCTTCAAGAGCTTAAGTTATATCAGAACTAGTAGAGAAAGTATTTCTCCAATGAAAGAAGAGCGCTGACGGCTTTTCATGATGGAAAATATGCTTTATATGCAGAAAGATGGTTCTGGCGTGTCAAAGGGACTCCTGTGAGTAAAAGTGCACAGGTTCAATGCCTGCCAACAGCCAAAATGTGTGGGTAAAACACAATGACTGGGAGATGCCTTTGTCCAATACAGTAACCGAGTTTGCCAATGCATGATTAAAGCAAGACTTTTAAAAGATATTCTAGGAGCACCACAAGTGGAAAAGTGTATGCAGACACAACTTTCTGATATGAACTTCTGTTTAAAACGCTTACTTTGTGCTTTGAGGCGTGTCAGAGTCAGCCCATCAGCCAATGCAGTTCAGTTTAGACTGACTTTAGACTGATGGACCCGCATAATCACACCCACGCATACGGGTCTAGGCTGCATTACAGAAAGGTCTGTGCAAAGTGTCAGACAGCTAATGACCCAGATCCTCCACTCACCCACTAACTCACCAGACAGATTGACAAAGCTTAAACTCTGAAACATACATTTTCTTGGTAGGAGGAAAAGAAAAATCTGCCATAAACCATAAAATTAGGGGTTAGTGATATAAGCATACGAATATTTGCAGAATATATTGTAGGTATGGGTTACAATGTTGAAAATGAGTGGTATTAGATTAAGTTCAGCACTTTTTGGGGCATTTTCATGCAACGATTGGTGACTAGACTGTAGAGACAGACAGGAAACAAGGGGAGAGAGACAAAGGGAACAACATGCAACAAATGTCTCCAGACAAACACGAAGGAGGAACTTTGTGGCTTAATGTTCACCTTGAACCCTTAAAGCACCACCGTGCCAGAGATTTATCAACATCTTTTCTTCAGCTCTTTTTCTGAAAGTTTACATTACAACTGTTATACAATCACAGGACTATTTTACTGTCAAAAGCCTGAGCGCTGTGGTTCTGACCCGTGTACCCTCCAACTCTTTGCTGCCAGTGTTGATGCTGAAGCTTTCTCTGTGACACAAATAATAGAATTGGTATAAAAAAATAAACTCTTCTCAGCAGGTGTGAAAGTGAGAATGGCTGAAAAAAATGAGAGAACAAACTTTACGGGTTCCTTTGCTGGACCCCATGGGTCTGTGAGAGGGTATAGTGTGCATGCACAGGTGTGTTTCTACCCTCTAGATCCCATGACAGAGTCCAGCCACATTCCCACATCTATCTGAGCAGAGTCTTTGGTGGTGGGAAGTGGAAATGACTTGCCTGTTTGGGAAAGTTTTTGGATTTACTTGCCTTGTAGAATTTGCAAGGCCAGGCAGGTCCAGGCATTCCAGACAGTGTCTAATGGAGCGAGGACTACGCACGCACGTACGCACGCACGCACACACACACACACGCACACACACGCGCACACACACACACACACACACACACACACACACACACCTCGGCTGATGTCACAGAAAAGCCGATTCCACCGCAGAGGGAACAAAAACATTCCCCTTGGTATCTCTTCTCCATTTGTCTCTTTGTTTGACTGTGCCTATATGAATTGTATAGGTACTCTCTGTAAAACGACATCTGTGTGTGTACATATGTTTGTCTACTTGAATGCACAATACAGTATGTATACTGTTCCTATATGATTTGTATACGTGTGCGTTTTCAATGGTAGTCACAGAGGGAAAAAGTCAGTGAAGGAGTGTGTGTGTGTGTTTTCTCAAGGCGACAATTGAGTCAACCAAACCAAACACACACAGATAAACCAACTACTAAAAGTCTTGCGTCATTCATTTGTGGGCCTTTACAACACGAGTCCCCTATCAGCAGTCAGGAAGTCCTTATGAAGACGGGAAACAATAGAGACCGTGTGCGCCTGTCAGACTTTAAATAAATGTAGAAAACTCTTACAGGGTTAATGTTTAATTAAATGGTGTTGCTGTGGCCTCAAACATTCAATTAGAAGCCAAGAATATCTGGCAGCAGGAATAAAGACAGCAGGGTGAGATATTTCAGGGCCAGAGGGCAAAGCACCGCCAACGCCATCACAACATAGCCAGAAATATAGCAAATAATAAAGTCATATGGTCACTCAGAGTATCTGCAAGTTGCAAACACTCTAATTTAAACACCTTAAAAAGTCCTTTCAGACGAAAATCACATAACTATCAGAGTTTGAGAACAACCAAAGAAAAGACCTTCAGTCTTGACTTAAGTCAAGTTTATGGAACAGAAATCCTAAAAAAACATAAATGAGATCACTGCAGCCAATTCCAGAGACAGACTTGAATGTTGAGTTTTCAAGATCATCACACCAATTTATGTAAAATTATTTAAAACAATACAAATTGCATTGGGGACAAACGTCTTGTAGATACCGATGAGACTGACTGACTTGGTAACACTAATGTTATTTATCGTCAAAGGATTTATTTAAAAAAAATTAAAAAAAAAAATTAATCATATTTTCAATTACTTCTAATTAGTGTATCTAAGACGTTTTTATGTTTTTTTTTTTTAATCCCTACAATTTACATCATGCAAAACATGTTATGTGTTTTAGATTTGTTGGTGTAAATGAGAGAATAGTGGTGTGTGTGCAACTTGTACTTTGAGGTAGGCGTGTGTAAATTATGCTTGCCTGTGTGTGTGCCTTTGTGGTGACAGGAACTATGATTAGGAGTGTGTGTGTGTGTGTGTGTCATACAGAAAGTTCAGATATGGCAGCAAGCCTTGCATTCTGCTTTGTGAATGCAGACTTTGCTTAGCGAGCAGAGTTTTGCTGAATAAGACCAAAGCAGGAGACGACACAACCCCCCATTGTACTAGCTGTAAATAGGAGCCTTCAGCGAGCAGACAGGTAAAAATTAGCAGATATGTAGGGCCCACCCCCGAGAAACGTCTTTCAAAACTTACCAACAGTGCAGAAATATTACATGTGCACTGTGTCATTGTGCAAACAACACATTCAGTACATACCTAAAAGCTTTTTAACCAAAGTAAATGAGAGAAATGCATATTCGCACACGGATCCTCGTCAGGAGAAGATTGGTCTTCTGCTTTAACAGCCTCTCTACAGCGGGTTTATGGATTGAACCCTGTACAGGCAGGAAAACATTAAGCAAGGAATTCTCAAGCAATGCACTCCCAACAACTACTGTCAGGGGCTGCTAACCAGCAGTGCGGCTCAATCAACCCCCTGTAGGTAAATACATTTACATATCCATGGAAACAGCAGACAACATCTACAGGTCCGGTCACGTCTCTGGTGGAGCAGTCCAAGACGTGACTAACTCTCAACAACTAGAGGGGTCGTTGGTGGTGCCAAAAAAAAAGAAGAAGACATTTTCTCCATCCGTCTCTGGTTACCATTAAGGCCGGGCTCAAACTGAGAGCAGAGCCATGCTGGTCATGACTCATAGAAGCCTCTTCCCACCCGAACACACAACAAATGAGCACGCCAGGCATGGGTCTGTTTAATGACCTTTGAGAACGCGAGGATTTTCCAGATGATGATTCACTTTCTTTAAACAACAATATGTTCCTGAGGAAAATACCCCCAAATGATTCTAGATGAACTATTCCATTTAGTTTCTAAAACCTTACCGTTAACATATACATCAAACATGACGTTGGATGCGACCAATAAAAGGTGGCCAGCAGGCTCTTTTTGAAAGTGTCTGCAGGAACACCGAAGGCTTCTAGAGCATTTTAGATGGCGGTTTCTCCAATTCAAGTGACTGAAAACCTTTCATCAAGTTCAGAGAGATGGCAAAATCCCAGTGGGTACGATTATAATATATGCATTTGTCGCCGAGTAAGTAATAGTCACCGTATTCCGATGGACACAGGAGACAGAGAGCAAGTCTGGGCTTGTCTTTTAGGCATGTGGGCACTCCGCAAAGTCTGCTGTGTTTAATTAAAACAGTTGTGTTAATAGAGAGCTGGGCTGGTGGCTGGAACTGACAGGTAGACAGCCAGCACACTGCTGCTACTCATCTCACACACACACCAAAGACTATTTACATGTATGAGGGATTTCATCATGAATAGGTATGTCAAATATATGTGTAGTGTTCAGTCTCATGGGACCAGCCATACAGGCACAGTACACACATATGAGGGTGAACATGGTGGGTGGAAAGCTAAAAGTAGATGGAGACCATAAAAAAATAAACTTAAGTTTAAAATGTTCCAATGTGGCAGAATTACTGCCTATTATATGAAGAATGTCATACATGTCTGATAGAAAAGCAACAGTCAAACTGCCTTAAAAAGAAGCTTAAATTGCCAGTTGACATATTCCAACTTTCCTGCACTGCATCAACTGATTGAATAGTGCTCTATCAGACTGGTCAATACCATTTCCTTCAGCACTACTGCCACCTACTGACATTTTCAAGACTTCCAATAAAGGAACCATTTACTCAACACACCACAAGCTTAGGTATGGAAGCAAGTGTATGAGTTGCATTGGGGTCTCACGATCCCTACAACAACCAATGGGACAAGCTGACAGTGACAAACAGCCTCCTAAATCATGGCCTTTCTCATGTTTGTGTTTTTAGCTGTAAGTCTTTGTGTGTCTTACTGAGATCCTCGGCCAGCTGAACTCGGCGGCCAGTGATGAGGTGGGTCTTCTTCTCGATGTCTTCCCCAAAGTCATCCAGCACCTCCTTTACATTTTTCTCCAGTCGGCGCACTGAGAGGACAAAAGGAGGAACAAAAAACACACACAAAGCATACAAATCAATATTCAATCAAACAACTATGCTTTAGATTTTTCTCTCTATTGTTGAATTATATAACATATTTTACCATCATTGCACTGGTTGTGAGAGGAATTGTCTATTTTCACTTTAGGTGACCGATATATGAATGTACTAATATTAAAACCAATTACCCAATTGAATGGTTATCGGTGACTGGTTATAGATCTCGGGTAAATTATATCTATAAGCTCAGGCCAACATATATATAGTTTGATATATAATCAAAATGTGATTTCCAAAATAATCTATATTTGTCTTTTTTTAAATATTTGAATGATGGATACCATATTTCGTATCCCCTATTCTTACCCTCAGTGTTGGTGAGCTGCTGTCGGAGCGTGTTAGCTGTGATGACCAGCATCCTCTGGATCCTCCAGAACAGAACCACATCATTGCACTCCAACTAGAAATACATGCAGGCACACAGCTTAGCTTTTCACACTCTAAATATACAGGAGAAATAAGTTCTAAAAGAAAGACAACTCGGGATTGCTCATCCTCTTTCCTTACCTCAGAGTCAACAAAGTGCCTCTGGTAGTAGTAGAAGCCTCTCTTGCAGAGGCTACAGTGAGACAGCGCCTTCTGCAAGAAGTGTCGGCGATACAGCTGATGCCACGTGTCCTTGATCTGACCATGTAAGGAGATCAGTAATTCAGTAGTTAAAATGGATGGCAGCATAATGAAGCACTGTATGCATGCTTCAGCTGAAAATGTAGCAAGCTTGTGTTTTATGTTAGCCAAGATCAAGAGGATTCCAACACCCCCCCCCCCCCCAAAAAAAGGAATAAATCAGAGATGCAGGTATTTCTATCTCACCAGCACAGGGTCAACTTCAACCCCTCGTCCCTCCAGATTCTTCCTGACTGTGGTGACCTCGTCATTGGCCAAGTAGGCTGTGTGCTCATCGTGTAGCTTCAGCAAGCGCTCCAGCTCATTCTTTGTTTCGTTACGAATGTGCTACAAGGTCAAAGAGAAGGAAGCGAGCACTGTGTTGAGATGTACAGTAGATGGACATTTCGATTTTTGCACAGTACGAGGAGAGACCCCTTGAACTCTGACCTGATCTGGTGTACGATTCATCCAGTTCATCCACCTCTGCCTCCAGCCTGGACCCACCATATCTCCAATCACTGACTCAGCTACGAGGAGAGAGAAGAGCAAAAGTCACGAGCATTCATGGCACCGCAGAAACAGAGCTGTGGACGACTAGAGCTGCCTAGACAAGATAGCAAGGAAGCGCGACCACTTATCACAAGTTGTCCTCTTCCTAATATGTGTCTGCGACTCGTTTACCAATTTACATCAAAATGTGGAAAACGTGCCAATGAAAATTGAAGAATACCTTTTGTAAAATTCTGTTAAATAGATCGGACATGACTATGTTTGAACACTATCCAAATGGGGAGGAAATATAAGGCCAGATGTTGAAGGCACTGAACACGATGTAACTGTGTCGTACTTAGTCTGATCTACACATCTACACAGGACTTTGACACATTTCGACAGGTAAAATTATCACATTGTTAAGACTGGGAAGTGAGTCTAGTACTGGCTGAGTGACACTGCATGAGGGCATTGTGGCTAACGCACTGTCTTTGAGGCGTGACTGCAGGGTTTCCTCCATGAACTGGATGGCTGCATCCCACTGGGGCTTGTCCGTGATGGAGCGGTCTTCCAGAGCATTGTGCTGGATCACCCTCTGACACACGCGCACACACACACAGGGAAATAAGAAAGTTGAGCTGCAAAGTAAATGCAATACATATTAAGTCTTCTACCAGATGTGCCACATCCATTCAGCATCAAGGGGTATGTGCATCAATGTTAGCAAGAACAGTTTCTTTATACTCGGTGCACACGATCATGGCCGTGTGTCTCTTGTACCCTTGCACACACAGGGTGAGTGGATCTACTGTGTGTTTACCAGGCTGTCCATGGCCCTCTCATTCCACTTGTGCCTCTTGATGCTGTCGTCCTTCACAGCCTCCTTCAACTTGTCAAAAATGTCATCCTGGTCTTTGCCTTTGTATTCAGCCATGAAGCGGGCAAACTCTTCCTGCAGTGTCTCCCAGGCAACCTAATGGGTGGGGAAAGAAAGAGGAGGCTCATCTTACCACAAGGCCATTTATTGGTTGAAGATTTGTTCTACAGTCTGGGGCACAATAATTGTACTAAATATAAGTAGTAAAGAAATAGGAGTGTATTACAACGCTAAAGTATAGAATTTAAATATCAGCAAAATCCTAAATCATTCTGTAATAAATAAGTTTTGGCAACATCATAATTTATTTCTGAAAGAAATGCCACAACAGGAACAAACTCATAAACCAATTAAATGTATATAAGATCTGATTTAACCAAAGTTTAACAGTCGACATCTTCCTTTAAACGATCTGTATTGAATATTGACCAGTTGTATGAAGACGTAGACGATGAGCGTTACCTCCAGTGCTTTGTGTGGAAGCTGCTTGTCGGTCCACTGCTTGAGCTTGATGTCTACGGTGGTGTTAAAGGTACCGGAGTCCATTGTTTGGGCAGCAGGCAGGTAGATGTTTTCAATCACATGGGTGGAAACGCGTTCCCACAGCTTCTTCTGCAAGATGGCCTCCCTGGAAGAGTAAAAAGACAAGTCATGCCCACTTCCTCATTGACAGAGGGAAGAAGACATCTTTTGATTGGCACCTCTGGCCGTTGTGATTTCGGTAAAATGCTGAAGGTCCTTCGGCCACATCGTAGATGCATGGAACTTTTTTATTTTTTACATTCTGATAATTATTTTTAGATTTATATTTAAGATGGATTGAACAAGCCAGAGTGTTTGTAACAAAGTTGTGTCCAGCTCGGTTCAGTTAAGGTGGGGTAAGAAAACAATGAGTGAAGAGTGATCGTTCTTGGCTGAGCTTCTTTCCCTTCTGTAGTCAGTGCTGCACAATTGCACTTGGCCGCAGATTCCAATACAGCTCCAGTCTGACCCTGTTAGCAGCTAACAGCCTCCACACTCTCGCTCCATCCCTCCAGGGCAGCGTGACAATGGAACAAAACCTTAACCAAGTCCCCCGAAGACCAGACCGGTGTTGTGCCTTCCTCATTTATCATAAACACACTCATATTTCATTAGGCTCCCCTTTTGTTCGGGGAAGCACTCCTCACTGTCAATAAGCGCTACCTCCGATATTGCTGGCTGGCTAACAGGGCCACCCCTGTTCTGGTCCATGGGCCATTCATCAAAATATTGATCTGGGAGAACTGATGGCACGCACACTAGGGATGGCCACAACACCGTGCATACATCTCACTAAGCAAGGTTGTCCTTATTGAGGAACTTTACATTCACTCACAGATAAATACAACAAGACATAGACCTGCAATTAGCTCTAAAAATAGCTTTCAACTCATGTCTGGTTGAGTGCTGGAACGCTGCAAACACATAATGTAATTGCTTTCAGGCAAAGACAACACAGCTCAGTCCTCATAAGGTGGCATCTCAATTAGACCAATATCCTACACAGAGTGGATCAAAAAGTGACGATCCATATTTGCAATGCCAAAACTGACATTTGAAGAAATTACAGGCGGAAGCGCTGTGCATTTGGAGAACAGGACACATCTTCCTCCAAAAATATAAACAAACAAAAGGTAAAAAAACATTAAAAACTCTAAATGGTTTTAACAGTTTAAAATGTTTGTGCTGCAAATGGTTTCGAAATGTATATATTTGATATAAAAATACAAAATCAGGACCCAATTATCTGTATAATTAGGAGTTTTATCTGTATTAAACATCAACACCGATAACATTATTTGGAAATTAGCTCGTCATTAACTTACCAGTGTTGTGGGGTCACTTGACTCAAACTAATGACTTCATCCAAGATTTCATTTTTGGCCTTTTCGAAGAGTTCATTCTGCAAAAAAAAACATAATGACATCTGTATTGTAACTTAATGTCTTTGGAAAACTTAAAATGGTGTGCAACTGTTTTATAAACTCTTGTGTTTATCTTGACAAAACAAGGGCCACCAATGAGCATCCAATCATTTCCCTTCATACTTGTTGTTGTTTGGCGAGCATCTATTGAAGAGCAATAAATGTGTCATTTATGTGTACTTGCTGTTTGTGTTTCTCACCCTGTCCAGCTCTCTCAGACGAGGGTAGTTGTTCTTCCACTCCGTCTCCAGGTTGAAGCGAGATGCTGTGGTGAGTAGGGACAGGGAAAAATATCTAACTTTACATTTTACACAAGTGAATATTAATGATTTCATCATATGGCCTTAAACTAAACCCAGCCCCTTAAAATGTCTAAAAAAATCAACCTAGAAATGTGTCATTTGGCACGTGCTCATTCTCATGCCTGGACGAAAGTTATCTCCGGCATGTTACAGGGACAGTGCCTGCTTTGTTTGAACTTGATATGATATAAACGCAGCTTTTCTCACTGCAAAGGGTGCCTCTCATTGAATAAATGTTGGTGAGGACTTTGCACACTCGCTCTCTTAACTGGTCCCTTAGGAGTAGAGAGGAATGGAGCCAATCACACACTCTTTATCAATAATCATAGTTTTAAGTCTCATATACACACACACCGAGCCTGCTGTCCCTTTCCACAGCTCCCTATCCACAGTGGAGATTAGGCTAATTGCCGGTTTGTGGGGCCACAGAGGCGCCAAGCAGATAGAGGATAGAGGCCGGCTGTGTGTGATTTGATGGGATATGGATCGATACGCTACACAATGGGCCTATGGGAACTGCAGTCTCATGGCCATAAATCTCCTGTGCTCTTAGCAATGGGCTTGAGATTGTCTGGACTAGTTGCAGTTGGAAAGCATGACTGAGAGAGAGTGGAAAAGTGTGGCGGGGGGGCGGGGGCTGAGTAACGCCAATACAGGGAGGGGAGAGAGTAGAGGAGTAGTAGCACCTGTTCCCTGTACAGTTAATGAATCAAATCCTACCATGCTCATTCACACTATTAAATCATGCAGTCGTACCTTTGAAGACATCCGCTTGCTGCTCAACAGACTCCCGAACCATCTTCCAGAAGCAGTCGGAGACGGCCAGACTCAAGTTCTTTGTCGTCACTTGGTGGGCCTTCAGCATGCCGTCCCTGGTTACAGACAGACATTCATCGTCAGCTTTAAATTAATTCATTTGATGAAGCACTACTGTTGGGTGAATCACGTGTAACTTGCCTTAGTAATCTAGAGTTCTGGAAGAACTCTTCCTCATAGTCTTTAATGGAGTCTATGCTTTCACCGCTGCTCCCTGCACACAAGAAGACAGCAGAACACAATGAGAGTAAATTCAGTTAATGTTAGAGTTAATACATAATAATAACTATATGCATCTAATCACAGTACGAGTCTGCAAATAACAATACGTTGGAAAAACCACTATGAACCTCTAACTATCTCGATCATGACCTGAAAGTCCTCATGAAATAATATGACATTAAATACAGCAAGATGGATTCCTAGTAGACGTTACCTTTTCCTGTCACCACTGCAAAGTAGCCCAAGGCCTTCATGGGAAACAGCTTTCCTTCCACTATTTGCTGGATCTGAAAGACAAAAATAAAACAAAAGGACTTTCTGAAATTCTGGCGACAGTCCACTCTGTAGTACAAGCAACAACATTAGCTGATTGAAGGACCACTGAGTTAGATAAAGGAGCTGAGCTCCCTCTTGTGGAGCGGCCGCATATAGCTTCACTCACTCACAGGGGCTGACAAGTTACACACCATCTATGCTCACTATTTCTGCTTCATTAATGCCATTCCACGAGGGATGATTATGATTGACTTTATTACTTTTAAGAATTGCCTCAATTGATAATCAAGAACATGTCGACTTACAATGCAAACTTCAACTGTGGCATTGCGGTCACTTTTGATGATCATCAATAAAGAGCCTGTAGACGGATCCATGCTTTCATTACAACTAGTGCAATACCCGAGTATTACAGTAGTAGTGCAGATTTCATCTAAATTCGACCCGGTGGCACCGATGACGAGCATTTACAATAACTAACTATAGCCAATCTTGTCGCCGACAGTCTCGTTTACTGATGAAGGTCCTATGGAGGCATCAGTACGTTTCATAACCAGTTTAAACTTCCTCATAGTAACTTCCAGCAAACATGTCAGATGTGCAAATTGCAAAAACATTTGACACGGCACTCCCTCGTGTCCCAAGCAATACACCCACCAAGTAGGAAGTAGATTGGATGAACAGTTCTCGAGATATGCGAAGCACATAAGCACCGACAAAGAGAAAGACTTTCCTTGCTTATATTTAGATAATTCTGATGAAATATGTGATTATATATATATATGCATTAATAGTCAGTATAATCCTTTACATATGAAGTCACATTTTGTTGTATTGGATTTTTGGGACAGTTAAGCCATCTTACTCTGTTTGGGCTGGCCAGGTTTTTCTCAGCCAAGTCCACCTTGGTCAGGACAAAGATGGTCCTCTTCCCGTGGGGGTCCATCTGGCTAACCAAGTCTGTTACAATGCTCCTCTCAGCATCCACACTGCCATCTGAAGAGAGATAAGGAGGGCACAGGATGTATGACAGTGATGTAGATATAACAAGGAGGAATCATAAAAGATTGAGATTGGTGTTTTGCTCAAATGGAGGGCTCTTTAAGTCCCCTGACAGACCACCTCCCTGCTCACAAAGACATATGCTGCTTGTAAATACGTATAAACTCACGCCTCACCCTGAATACAGAGGATGATTGCATTGGGGTTCTGCATGTAAGCCTTGCTGATGCTGAAGATGGTTTCCTTCGTATCTGCTGCCATGCCTGCAGTCACAGTCTGAGAGAGACACACATTTAGTGACGTTATTACGTTTGCATTACTGTATTTGTGAAGACAAGTTTGGTCTATTGGCTTTGATAGTACAAAGCTCAAACAGTACAATAATATACATATGTATACATTACAGATAGTATCCAGTCAAATACATTTGTAAACATTTGCCTTTTGAATTTAAGAATGTATACTCACACTGATGACTCCTGGTAAGTCAACAAGCACCATCCTCTGGATGCCGGGGCCTTTGACACTCAAGGATATTGTCTGAAAAGCAAAACAATAAATATCTTTATTCTATGACACATCACAGATGTAAATCAGCAAGTAGCTGCTTTGTTAACAAATCTGAATGGAAGCATTTTGTCCAACCTCACAGCTGACGGTCTGTCCCTCCTTCACACTCTTCCTCATCCTCAGCTCAATCTCATGCCTCAGAGCAGCGAGCTGCAGGACAAAGGATGAGAAGCCAGATGAAATGATGTCAACAGGTGAAAAAAAAAAAGTGCTAAAATTCATCTTAGATGGATGGAGTGCGTGACTTACGTCCTCCTCCTTGGTAAGGTCAAACTCTCGGCCACTGTCCTTAAACATTGCCACGTGGTGGGGGCCTTCGCTTAGTGTTACCTGCAGAGATAAGATGAGTATTGTTAGGGGCCCAGACAGAAAAATCCATCAGCACTCGGTTCCTACACATTTACCTTTCACAAAGTACATCATTCCTTGTCAATTCTGGCTAACAATGGCTATCAATGCTGTTGTTTCATGACAACAAATTCTGAGAATGTGTGTGGTCCTTTTAAAAAAGGAAAGACTACGCAAACCTCAGCCAGTGTGGTCCCACATACCTTGACAGGAGAGCGGGTCATCATCTCTCCTGAGCCCCTGGGGAAGATCCTGGCCTGGGCTATCATCTCCAGCACACTAGTCTTCCCAGCACTCTGATCGCCAACCACAACCACCTGAAACAGAAGAGGAGGAGGAGGAGGGTGAGGGGTTGGACAAAATACAGACATAAGGACAAAGTAGAATAAGAAATAGAGGGCATTAAGCGATCAGAATCCAAACAATACAACATACGAGTTTAATAATTTGGAGTTAAGGGGATTTATTTCAATCAAGATACCAATTCCACCACAAAAATAAATGACAAAACAAGATTTGGGATATTAGCAGGTTTCTTGCCTTATTTGTATCTGAAACAAAAAAAATAATATCTTGCTCATTTTTAATAGGAATCCATTTCCCAGGAACAATGGGACTACATTCGACTGATCCTTACCCTGGGTAGGTGGTCCTGGGTGTTGTAGTTGGCATCATAGTCTGACAAGATGTCCAGGACTTCAGAATACAAGTCAATAAGGGATTTCTACATTCGATGAGACAACAGCAATGAATATTAATGTTGGTGTGTATCATGGTGTTTATTGAGCGTATGTGCGTGAGTGTTTAACCCACCTTGACTTTCCTTCGGTGAATCCCTTTATCATCTTTTTGCAGCACCACTTTCCTCAACTCTTTATTCTCCTTCTCCAGTCTTTCCAGCATGCGCTGGTATTTTAGCTGTGGGATGAAACGGTAGAATCCAATCCGATCACACAACTAGCATCATTAAGACTTAACATCTAATATGTTTTTGTTCAAAACCTGGTGGCAGTATTTGATCTTGTGGTACAATTATGGGATTTACCATGTTTTTGAGTGTACTAATGTAGGGATAACAAAGATCTTTCCCGATTTGACTTTTTGGGCAGTTTATAAGGCAGATTTAAGGCATACAGTATTTAAAAAATAAAACCTCTTAAATAGGATTAGGATGAGTTACATGACACCTAAACAATTCTGTTTCCCTTTAGAAATAGCTTTTATCAAACGAAACACAATCTACTGTACCTGCGTACGGAGCAATTCTTCTTGAAGCTGGTCTAGCCTCTCTTTGTCTGATGACTGGAGGTTGAAATAGAAAAAGAACAGCAGCAAAGTTAGTCAATGCTGCCTTTCTGTTCTGAAAATAAGGGCCTCCCGTCACTCTCACTGTGCAACTTCACAAGCACGAAATCCCACCAGCACCACGAAGGTTCATTACGTGCACACTGTATTACAGAGAGAACCAGGGTTGAGAGATAAGTTAATGCATATAGAGAGAGGAACAAAAATCAAGGCAGACACCACGCATTACTCAGCTTCGATCAACATTAACAGGCACAAATCACAGAGTGAGCCCTGAAAAACACAGCTTAGTTTAATTGCAAAAATAATTTAGTTTAGAACAGCTTGATTTTTCATGATTGGGCAAACCTCATTTGATTAAATTATTTTGTACAGTTGGTTTGTTTGCCAGGATGAGAGACAGGACAGAAAGCAGGAGACATAGCAAACATGAACAAATGGGATTGGCAGCAGAAGAGAAGGTAACTTAAGACACAACAAACTACTTTACCAAAAACTACTCTATAAAACAAGCAGTGTGCTGTAAGTAATGTTCAGTGGATTCAAATGTTTTGACTTTCCACTATTACATTTAAGGCTTCTACTTTGTCGTCGACAACAAAGTCAACTCTCCAATTATTACGTAGCTGGGTCCATTCACGGTAACTTGAAAAAGTGCAGCTCACACCATGCAGCTGGTTGCCACTCCACTCCATGCAGTGTTTCCGTACATTAATGGAGAGCTGCTGATGATTATCCATCCAGTTACATGAGGGAGTGAGACTGAGCTACGTCACTGTGCTGCTGGAGTCGGGCTATGAAGGTCCATGCATGCCTTCTCTATGACCGCAGCTGAGCCTGACAGACTACGGGCTGATACATGGAGGCTACTGTTGGATAACCTATAGGACTCAAGTATCGACAGGCTCATTTTAAATTATTATGAAATGAGCTTTAAATGATGGCTTAATGTAGAGAGCTAGACACAAACATGTATAAAATATAGTGCCATCCAATGCAAGAGCAATGCAATAAATACATCCAGTCAGAGGGGAGTTTAATGTATGGTTGTGTTGTACTCTGGTTGTGTTGTACTCTGTTGCATTCTATCTGTAGATGTTTTGCATTGCATGTTTTGTAACATTGCATTTATTGCATGGTCAAAGCACTGAAATGCATTATTGTGTAATTCTGTTCATGTTGTTGTGTCCACCATGACTTGTGTATTAGGAGCACTGCTTCTAAAATGTTAATCTTCCAATCGTTTTTATGAACGAGTTTTTTAAATATTCACTCACAAATTAAGTTAGTAGATGAGCAACTTAACATCAGGTGAAAATCATGTTTCTGCTGACCTCCATTGGTGGCTTCTAATCATGCTGAAGTGACGTGTTACAGTTGTAAAAGAGCACAATTGAGCACTGAGCACAACCAACCACACCGATCAGTGATGCAGGTTGTGATCAGAGGTCCAACAGAAACAACTTTAACCACGGAGGGCAGCGAAACACTGATTGTCAGCCTGGTGTTAAATGCATCTATTTGACAAGACGGCTGATAAATGTGTTTGTCCTAGAATATAAATATACTCTCTGTCTAGAACTGTTTCTTCTCTGCAGCTGTGAGGAGACTTTAATGGGATAGGGCGGATCTAAGTGGGGTGGGACCTTCACCTTGCGTTTCTGTTGAGGGGGACTGGGGTTCGGAGGCGGACTGGGAGCAGGCTCTGGCAGTGGGGGACGCGCGCTATTGGCTGCTGCGGCCCGCCGGACCTCCTCCTCGTGCCGCTGGATCTGCTGCTGAATAAGAATGAGCTCGCCAAGCAGACCCTGCTGGGGTACGTCATAATGAGAGACATGTAGGAGCAGCAACAAAAGACATCGACCGGCCACACAGGCAAATGCTGCATCCAAACACAGGGCTACAACAGAGGAAACCGGACCCGTGTCTCAATCACTGGCATTGGTGCTGTTCAGGCTCCAGAAGGATGATTCAGCCAAGGCTCAAGTTTAACAGAATCAAGGTCTTTGACTTTGTTAATCTTGCCACCATCATCAGAACTATGCCAACAAAGTCAGTCTCTCTCAAACAGAAAAAGGGAGATGCCAAACTTTGCCAGACTGAAGGCAGAGGAGGTGACCAATACCACAACCAGCACCTCTCAGCAAGTGGCAACGACAATGACCGTGTTCTCTTTCCTCGCCATCATCCACCACTGTGGATTAATGACTCCATGTTCACCAGACAACGCCGGAACTGATTTTCAGACTTAAACCTAGCAGTATAAAATACAGTAAGGGAAATGTAAAATATTAACCAAGTTAAGACGACAATGTGCGGCAACACAATAATATTCGGCGGTTTTGAACCTCATCGGTGTGATGATGCTCAACATGATGATGATGATTAAAATAAGCGAAGCCAGCACTGGGATATTGTTGCATCGGGGGCGAAGCACAAAGCATACATTATTTAGTTCAGGGGTCCCCAACATGACATCATTTAACTTTGAGCTGTTTTTTCTTCTTTGTGAATCGCACACACAATATTTGTATACAAGTATAGTTTGAAGTGAAACATCAACATATAAGAGTTGTTGTGTTTTATGTGCTCATGTTGGAGACCATGATTGCAGAATAAAAGCAGGACACAGGAGAGGAAAGCCAACATAAATATCTTTTTTAAATTCCGCTTTTCCTTATATTTGTTGTCAAACCGTCACATCGTGTTATCACTTTATAATTTAACTCTGTACAGTAATAAAAACACACAAACATAGAAGAGAGGGACACTTTGCAAAAAAGAACAAAACTCAAAATGAACATGAAACAGAGAGGACAACAGTAACGAAGTGTTCTGCCAGAGAATATAAAGCTAGCAAAACAAATGCTCTCCATCCATTAGATTTGTGGAACATTTAAGAAGCGTGACAAGTACTTAAGGCAGTGTGCATAAACTCTAAGCTTACACTCCACACAATGATGTACATACATGGTAACGGTAAAACCGTATACATTTTAATCATACAGCTGCTGTCATAAAACGAGATAAGATCATTCTTACGATAACATTACCACGCGGTCTCAAAAGCTGGCGCCAGCGCGTAAAACACAACATTCACATGAACGGATGAACGGATTGAATCAAAACATACTCAAAAATATTACATTACATTTACTTATATTAAAGCTGCTTTGTGAGCGCATACGTTAATATAATGAGGACCTTGTTTGAGATCAACTTATGAGGGACCACAGGAGGAGACGGGTCAGTCACTGCTCGGTCTCCGTGGTGCCTCGGGGCCCTTAAATGCTACGGTTTTATGTCTTGAACAATACAAAGTCATGTGTATGTTTCTTTGAGTAGATTTCGATTCAACCCACTACCGTGAAAGGTAGCCAAGCTGCAGAGAGGACAGAGCTGAGAAGTGTCAGCAGCTTTTACTAACTTACCTTTTTGTACTGCTTGTCGCTGCCCTCTTGTGTGGCTGCAGTCGAAGAATCGGTGGCTTTTAGCGGAGGATCGCCTGATGTTTCTAGCAGTGGAGGCACAAGGACAGAGAATGACACTCCTTGTAATACGGCATCTCTGAGTACTGAATGTTAACCTTTGGGACACAGTGACGGGCATGGCGACAATATGCCACATAACCAACATTTGAAGCATGCATACGATTAGAGAAGTGAATGATTACATTTCAAATGTTTGGAAAATCGTGCACTGTCTTTAACATATATACATATATATACACATATACATATATACACACACATATATACATATACACATACTGACCATCAACCTCAATTCACCAAAATTTGAAAACTGCCAAACACAATCACAGTCCAATGGATTTTTTGAGATCATTGAACTATAGACTTAAATACATTTGCAGTGATTGTTTAAAGAATGCATTATCTATTTTGTAATCGGGTCCAGTAAGAGTAAAAATTATCTTCATAACATTTAGTGCGCCAAGAGTTCTTCCAGCAAATTTTAAAATATGCTATCAAGGTTCAGAAAACTAGATATAGATGATTCCACTTAGATGTACTGTTGTTCACCGTTTATTGAAACTTTGATTTGTGAACTTGAGTGGAGCATTGTGGCTAGAAAGGCATTGCTGTCGTTACTGTACCACTGGTTGCTGAAAAGAATTCAATAAAGAATCCCGATCTTTGAAACAATTCAAAACACTGCCTTAAAAATCAATGATCCACTTTGTCTAAATAGCCTAACTTACATTTATATGATGTAAACTTAGACCCCACGGCAATCTGATGTGAACGGTCAAATGTAGTATCTAAGGACACTAAATATACAAATAAAAACGTGAAGCTGTCATGGAAAACATATTTTCATGAGTCATAAAAGGGTGTGAAGTTGAGAAGAGCCAGAAACACTCCTTTGCTGGTTTTATGACTCACAGCAGAGGTGTGGTCTGGTCTGTACAAATGATTTTAAAATAAGGTCTTTCCATGTACCAGTGAGATCGACCTTAAGGCATATTAGGGTTGTATCATTATTATTATTTATCAATTATTTTACCACTATTTGGCATCATTTCAAGAGACAAATATTTAGTGTACGTTTGTAACTTCAACGAATGTTCAATATAAAAAAGGTATTTTCTGTGCGTTTTCCAAACATTTGAGTGAAAATAACTAGAAGCAGACTGAGATCACCCCAGATATTAGTGAATGCGAGTAGAATTAAAGAAAGCAGCCCATTCTGGCCAGGGGAGAGAAAAGGTGGAAGTCAAAGGAGGCAAAAAAAACACAAAAAGTACAGCCACGCACACTCAGGTTAAAGAGACTCAGAGGGGAAGAGGACAAACACCGGATCTGTATTTAAGATCAGGAACAAAGAATACGAAACCATGTCCGGTTATTGCCACTATTTAACACTTTTCTTTTACTGGACTTGATCCTTATATATAGATATATCTAGATAGATATATCTAGATAGATAGAGATATATATAGACATATATGAACGAGGGAATAGTAACCATTCAAGTTCTCAAAGGATTTTAAAATATTTCAGAAAGAAGAGAAACTTAAAGAGTGAGGTTGGAGTTTACTCCAGTACACAGACGCCAGACACAGGGTCAAATTGGATGTCTGCATAGTCGTCTGAATATCCAGTCCAAGATGAAACTTATTCACCACCCTAGTCACAGGTCATACATTTCGCTGAATACAGAGCCTGCATTAACCGTGAACACCGCCATTGTTGACAGCGTCACTGGTCTGCAAACTTGGGAGCCAAAGTCCTGGGAAGGTGCCCCGCTACAGCCTTTAGAGCCGAACCACGGAGAGCAGGAAACCACCACCACCACCACCACCACAAACATACCAATATTGTGGCGATAGTCAAAGAGTGGCAGTGGGACAGAGGGGGAGTAGGCAGCGCTACTGAGTGTGGGGTTTACACACCTAACAACAGATGCAGACCAGAAGCTCCTTTGACTTCACTACCCAAACTCACACCTGTGAAGAACGTGGAGGAGGACAGGAGGGATGGGGAGGAGGAGAAAGGAAGAACAACACAAGATATAAAAATCATAACAGACAGAAGCAGAGGGATGGTGTTCAAAGCAGGGACACAGCTTAATGGTGCGTATTAATACAAAAGTGGCTGCTGTGCTGGAGCTTCGAGTGAAGTGGCCACTTAATGGGAAACTGTTATAAGAGATGAGCACACATCGAACTGGGCCTGATCCCAATGGAGAGGTTACTCTCAGAAGTCTCTTCTGTTGGCTACTGATTGTTAGGCAGAATAAGTTTTAATTTTTTAAGCTTAAATTATGACATAAAAACCATCAATCACTTCCTTTAACTTGATGGAATAAATCATTTTGGATTCAAAGTGCTGAATTCAAAACACCTGCACTAAAGACTGCAGAGGTTATTGGAGGAATTCAATGATCTAAGCTTAGATTAGCTTCAGATATTTGATTTAACAAGCAACTGTCCACCATAAACAAAAGAGTTGCAGAAAAAGCAGCAATTTAGAGCATGAAGCAGACTATTTCCTCAGATTTTACGCTAAATTTATGAAATCTCGTCTCTCCACAGATACCTCACTTTAAATACGGTAGGGCACTCAACTGAACTGTTGGATATATTATATAAAAGCAGAGACCAATGCAGATGTGAGAACAATTACTTTTATCTTCATTTGACACTGGACTAAAACACTCTGATGTCTGCAAATCATTGTATTGTAACTTTATGAAGACATAGTGGAGGTTTGGTTCACTCACCAGAGGACAGGAGGCTTTTGAGGAAAGTGAAGTTCTCGCCTATCTTGTCTAGGTCAGGTAGCAATTTGGCTAATTCCTCGATCTCTGGTAGAGCTTTGGCCAGTTTCTCTGTGGATACGAGAGAAAACAGGTCAAGCTGAGAAGACAGAAAGGTCAGGAGTCTTATCTCATGATGCATAATTGTGCACCCATATTTTCAAGTTCAACATAAGAATAATTGCCTCTGCTTACTGAAATCAATTCCTTTACAAGGAAGACAAGACCAAGTATTGGCACATTTAAAACACGACATTAAAATGAAAACACTTACCAAAATCAATTTGTTCACTCAGTTCCCAGACAAAATCAGGTATGACCCAGTTGTATTCACTAAAATCAGGCAGCATATCCTTCCACTCATCATAGGTCTGGAGACACAAATCACAAGTTTATGTTATCTTCACATAAAGTTTTTCCTTCACTGTTTTCAATAAGCACCAGCGTGCCATCACAGCTAAAACAAAAAGGCAGGGGACAGCTGTTGATTGCCCAAGAAAGGTTTAGAAAATAAGATGGTTGGTGACTACTTATGTAGGCATCTATACATTTTCTGTTTACCGCAACTGTTTCAACTTATTGTGAGTGTTTATATTGCGATCAGGGATAAAATCCTGTATCATCTCATACCGAGATGCGGTAACTAAGAACTACAAACTAGTTCAGAAAAGCGGAGTTAGAGACACTCAATGCAGACCTTTTTAGCGGTGTACCCTCCTCCCACTGCCGACCCCAGCAGAATGTATCGAAGCTTTAGCAGCCGGGAAGCGAGGCGGACCACCCAGAAATTGCGCTGCTGCTGGTGGCCACGGCCCCCCGACCCCGGAGGAGGCTTGGGAGGCCGCATGGGCAACCGTGACATGGAGGTAAAGTAGCGGGCTGCCGTGCGGTGAGGGGGTCGCTGGGGGTTGGTGTTTCCAGAGTAGCGGTGGTGGATTGCCCGTGACAGAGGGTGCAGCTTCTGCAGCGGTACCCGAAATCTCACCCCCATGTTGGTGGAGACCAGATTCCTGCAGGCCAGGCTGAGAGGACAGAGAAATTGGACAATAAATTACACAAGCTCACCTTCCTCTTTTGCCAATAAACACCACAACCCCGGAATATATAATCCTCCCCCCACAGTTCTATCCCTGATGATGCTGGTTCTGTACAAAGAGTAACATACATTTTGTTTGTATCAAGAGAATATATTATACAAGATACAAATGTGACACTTTGGAATCTATAGCTTGTATCTGTAGTACTGGTGGCTGTTGAATTAAGAAAATGCAAGTCAAATTTCTTTATTTCCAGCCTGTGGCTCCATCATCAGGTGAAGGCCTTGGAGCAGTGAATTGAGCCTACGAGATAATTTAGGGGAAGTAACGTTAGCAAGTGATACGTGTAATAGAGTGCGTAGATAAGTTACTGTTGTGTTATGTTACAAGTCTGTCACACTGTGACAAATGATCGGTTCTGTTAGTGGTCCTTTTAGAAAAGGGTAGAACCACACAACGCTGCAAAATGCAGGCGAGGAGAAGATTTGGTACATAGCTTAAGGTAACGATAACGTTCTAATCTAATGCTAACAACGGTAACGTTACCCGACAGCGATATCAATGCTACATTTACATTATGTAAATAAATCAATCAAGGTTACGTTTATAACTATCATATGTTTGGCTTAGCAAACAATCTTAGAGCGTAAAAGGCATATCAAATAAAACCATGTAAGACAAACCATCCCCCCCCCCCAAACACCTGGTTAGCTAGCTAACGTTAGCTACGTTACCTGGCTAACGTCAAAATCCACAACAACGGCACCGGTCGATTTGAAGATTTAAATACATGTCGGTGGCAGTTTGTGGAGAGAGCTTACCTAGCGTCTAATTAGCGATATGATTTACAGGACGACTGCTTACACGGAATAGGTAGTTAGCTAGCTTCGCTGTCGTCAGCTGTCAGACTGACCACATAGCTGTGTGCTTTCCTTCTACCAAAGATAACACAACTAGCTTCTGATGTCGTTACCTTTATCAAATGGGAACTTACCAGGCAGCTTCACTCCCGACACGCAACATGGTGCTGTTATCAACAGCGGGTTGACGCAAATCTCTCTCAAAATCACTCTTCAAGCGCGGTTTAAGTCATCTTTCCAAATGGTACACATTTGCTTGCCTGTTATGGCAGCTAACTAGCTTTGTTAGCTAACAAGGACACAGCCCAGACTGACAGTCCACTTCCGGTGAACGGTACTACTATCAAATAAGAACGGACAGAAAACGCATCGGTGAAATAGTTCCTATTTGTAGGAGGTACATGGGCTCTCTGTATGGACAGTGGGATCATCGTAATGCCATCAGGCGATAATACAATAATCATATTTGGCAACTAGACAGTACTTGCTTCAATATACATGTAAATTGAATATTACTTTCTCTGTCATTCTGTAACAGAATGGTATTGAATTGTTGTAATTCCCTCAGTGCACATATTGGGGTCCAAAGTAGACACCACTATTAGGGCTAACTGTTGGGACATTTACATCGACAATAATGACCACATGATTGGTAAAAGTGCCATTTGAATAAACGGGTGCAGTTTAGACTAGTTAAAGATTACATTGAGCTGCCCAGTCATATGATGAATACATTTATTGTACAGATAAGTCTGCAGCTAGTTGTGTGACTTTAGATAAATGCTGTGCAGTAAGTACTTGTTGCTATATGCAGGACTTTGCATATTACATATTTGATGGTTGTCAAGCCTCACTTTCATAAGAATAACAAAAAATCCAATTGTTGCAGCTGTTCATCTGCCTCCTGATGTACACAGGGATTTATGTAAGCTACATCTGTGTACACAAGGGGGAGTGCCAACACCAATGAGGAGGAACTGCACAAGATTGAAGCTTTATGTCCCAATTCAGAGGCTAGATCCTACAACGTGCAGTTCTAGAATGAAGGCATCCAGAGAGGAGTCACATTTCAAAGGCTCTGCTGAATCACCTGAATTTGGAGGACAAACCCTGTTTAGCCGTTGTAGCCCTCAGTATCCCACAATCCATTATATGCTGCTCAGTTGTTTACATTTAGGTGATCGTGGTCAACTTCTAAAGTCTATAAATATCTTGTGATTACATCACATTAACCAGCTACTACACTTAATTTATTACAGTAACTAATATTGTAAACAGGTAAACTTTATAAACACTATTTTGAATTTCTGCAACACATTGGCCACTTTAAGCCTTCCCACCATTCTCTACATATAACAAGATGCTTTGCTGTAGCGTCTGCAGCATTATGATATCCCATTCATGCTCAATGGACACAAATTACTCAGACTTGCAGCAGACCATTTTGAGAACATTTATTGAAAAGAAATAAATCGAGATAAATCTGAAATACAATCCTCAGGGAGAAAAAAGAAATTAAAATAAATACAAAATAAATTATAAAGTACAAAAAAATTTCCAAAATGTACATCTCCAATGCCAATAAAAACACATATACCCCAGATGTGCCTCTTGCTGAGGTGTTGGAGCTGCAAATAAAAAGCACACCAGATATCCGTAATGAAAGATTTACGTACAGATTGAGTGTAATAAAAAGTTTTACCAACATTGTATTTTCATTCAGCTCGAGTGTCAACTTTTATTATTTTCTTTATTCATTACAAATAGACATTTCCCTGAGGAAACAACATCCACATGACTTGATACATTCAGTGGCTGACTCAATCTAAATGCCATTCGATGGTTTGTTTAAAATACATGATGTGAATAAGAGGCCTATGCTAACTGTCAACAGTCGGTGTATATTGTACCTGTATAAGAGCATAGAGGTTTCAGCATAAAAGCCATTGTTGTGACATAGCTGTTTGAATAAAAGGCAAAACTGTAGTGTAGAAGACAAGCAATAGTATTTACGCTTTGCACGTTATAACATTTATAACTTTTCTGTGTCAAAGCGCACAGTTATGACACAGCAGAGACTGAATCATTTTGCCCTTAGCAGCTATATAGTCACTTCTACAATAGACCGTTGATATCGAGCAGCAATGCACATTCTTTTTGCCAATTACAATTTAAATTTACGTGGATGCAAATGATCTTTTAAAAAAAAAAGTTCTAGACAAAGAAAGTGAAATATGCACATTGGATGATTAAACAGAAAAGCAACAAGATTGTCATGTTGTTCAGATTCTGAATTTGCTAAGAGGAGGTGACTATATATATATATATATATATATACACATACATACATATATATACACATATACACACACACATACTGTATATACACACACATACATATATATACACACATACATACTGTATATATAYACACATACATACTGTATATAYAYACACATACATACTGTATATATATATACACACACATATATACAYACACATACATACTGTATATATATATATACACACACATAYATACTGTATATATATATAYACACACATATATACACACACATACATACTGTATATATATATACACACACATATATACACACATACATACTGTATATATATATACATACACGTATATATACACACACATACATACTGTATATATATATACATACACACATATATACACACATACATACTGTATATATATATATACATACACACACATATATACACACATACATACTGTATATATATATACATACACACACATATATATACACACATACATACTGTATATATATATACATACACACACATATATATACACACATACATACTGTATATATATATATATACACACACACAACCAGTTGTATTCCCTTCTTGTGTCAGGTCCTTGATATTACACAAAGCAGCGAGACAAAAGAAAAGCCGAGAAGTCAATCGATTTTAAGAACCTGCAGAGACAAACGTTTCCACACAGGACTCGGTTGAACTTTCTTCAAACTCATAAGTAGACGTGCTGCATTGTGTTTTTACCCAAGACGGAACAAATATTGATCCAAGTGCCCCGATCACCTGTCACAATAACTAATTAAAACCGTGAAATAAATGCCCAGGATTCATGCCCAAACTAGGAAGCTCCAAGCTAATGCAACTCCAAAACAGAAGTGAAAGTACAAATAAATTCAATAGACAGTACAAATAAAAAGGTAGACAGACAACCGATTGTAACACAGTACCAAAATAGTAGAAAAAGACACACCAGCCCTTTGATAATCCAAAAACCATACATTTTTATACTAAATCTTTTGACTTTTATGCACACATTAGTGATGTACACATCTTATATACAGACAGAATCCAACATCTAATATTATCACCATTAAGTCCAATTCTGCAGAGACACATTTTTGAGAGAACTGAACACAGGCTAAAACTAAACATTTCTTCTTTTTTTTCAAATTACCAATTAAGATGTGATGAAAAGTCTTTGGAAAAAAAACGACTAACCATTGTATTGCATTGCGTTCAATTCTGTTCTTTAAACATTCAGTTTTAGTCTCAGGACTCTAGAGAGATAAAAAATTAAATGAAACCCTGAAAGCAAATACAAAATGAAAAGAAGCCACCAAGTATTCAGAGGCACAGAAACCCACGTGGCCAATGTTTTCGACAACATATCAGAATTTTTCATCTATAGTACTATGTATTTCTTTCTTCTCACGCTGACAATTTACGCACAAAATACAATAACAAAATACTATACTTTGCTCATCAAATAAACAATGTATCTTTGAAAACTATAGTCACATATCACATTTGAGCTCGTCTTAAAAAACTGTATTGATCAAAAGTCTCAAATACTTTTGCAAATCACGAGCATCTCAACAGACGATGGCTTTTAGGAACTGAGCAACTTTAGACTTATAACGGATTGCGATTATGTTTCTATGTGAATAAAATCAATAATCATTCATGGACAAATGAAATGCAATGTGATGTATAAAACATGTCTTAGTGTCGAATACAGCACTGTTACCTGATGTTTGAGAAATAATTCGCTCAATTTTGTCAGGGAGGAAGAGTAGTATTACATTTAGTTTGACGTGACTCATAACCGCCAATAAGCACTCACACACCATTTGAAACCATTAATATTAAACCATAGAATTCATGAAAGACAGGCTACGGGGCAGATTAAGCAGTTATACTGACATTGAGAACCAGCTGCATGTGTGTTGGTGTCTTTGCTTTGAAGTGATACTCCACCCTCAGTCTTCCTTTGAGGATCAATCAATGGTGGCTTTAAAAGGGTGGCTTGAAAACATTTGTTTTCTTCTCCTTCCAGCACGGTGGTCAGCTTGAATCCAATCATTACAATTATTTACAATGGAATAATTTTCATGGCTAAAAACAAAAAGCTTCCCTGCTGTGCACCTGTTAGCTCAGTATTATTGTAATCAATCTTGAACTGGATTTCCATCGTCAAACTTTTGTTGAGGAAGACGCAACACACTTTTACAGCCACCTTCAATGTTTACAGCGAGTGTTTGATCCTTGAAGAATTGGAGGAATCTTGGAGAGCATCACTTTCAACATCAAAGAAGAAGCAGTGAACATAAAATATAGCCCTTAACTCTCAATGCAGGTAGCCTATGTTTAATACATGAATACAAGTGTATAAGGTAATCAGCATCCATCATATGCAGCATGGATATTTTGAATGTGCAGTAAGCTGATGAGGTGCACAATGCCTTGCCTTAATTTGCTATCACGCTTTTAATCAGTCTTCCATAGGAAGAAATTTAGTTTTTAGAAAATAAATTGAAGTAGTCCTGATGGCTCTTGGGAGCCAATCTGACATGAGATTGTAAATGTAGGAGGCTTTGACTTGTATGGTCTCATACATGCGATTACCTGTCCACGCTAAACAGACGGAATAATGCCGTTTCTTGTGCAGAATATTCTTAATACAGAGATGTTAATGTAACGCTCCTGAATTCTACAGTAATGCTGTATTTGTAGCAATGTGTCTGGTATTGCAGCCATTAAGTCTTCAGAACGTGACACTAAGGAGCTGGCTTCATGCAACTCTTGGGAGCTTTTCAGATGGCTCATGGATGCAAAAACATGAGGTTATAATTTAGAATATAGTCACACTGGTGGCCCATGAGAGTGTGAAGCTCATTACACCCTAGAAAAAAAACATATATTGGTGGATGAAAAGTACAGACACATTCGCTGTTAGATCTTCACCACTAAATGGGGAAAATGTCTGGCCTGAGGAGAGCAACAGAGGAAAGGCCATGTTGTTCCCTGTCAGACTTGTTAGCATGGTATGGTAATACTTATGTAAGTTTAGCATGCTAACATTTAACATGTTAGCATGCTGTGTAGGGATTAATATCAAAGTACAACGGAAGTTGAAGAGAATTCAGTCAGTAGTTTCCGAGGTATCCTGAAGTGTTATTGAGCGGTTGGTGGACCGACAGACCAATGGATCTACTAGCATGCCTAAAACGTTTATAAGGTTTTTTTATTTTTTTTAATACACATCTTTAAAAAGGTAAACTCTGACAAAGTGACAATCATAATGAGATCCTGCCAGAGGTCCCAGCTTGTGGTTGAGAGAGGATGAGCACATCTGTCTCCCTCACTGTTCTCTTTAAGTCCTTTACTTTCTACAAGCACTAAAGTTTTGACTATAAGGAAGTCATTGGAGGTTGCATTTTCCTCATAATCTGGCCAAAAGTTGAGGTGGTTCATCACTTTGTAGCTTCAATCATCAATCTGATGTATAATGTACTGTAATTTGTGATTCATTTTAAAAACACTTTCCCTTAACCTAACTTGCCTACTTATAACGTAAGAGATATATATATATATAACATTTTCAAAATTTCTGAGAGCTTAAATTAAATGCGGTCGGGGACAACAGACTTATTGTAAAGTTTCCAAATCTTAAAATTTGGAAATGCCCCGTTTCATTTTCTGTACTTTTCCATAACTCCGTTGCTGGCTCTCGACAGCAAATGGAAGTTCTGCCGGAGGTGTGCAATTGAAGTTGTTTCGAGATTCCTAATCTCCTACAATTCAGTGTGCTTGAAAGACTATTTGAATACTGGTCTCAGATTATTATTTTCCATTCATTCCTGTGGGTCCATGGTAAGCTTTAAAGCGTTTCTTTTTGGTTATGATTCAATACTCAAATGAGCACTGGCCAGGTGGTAATGCTAGCTCATTAAAATGACCCTCTATGCATTTACATTAGCTGTATAAGACCACTACATAGTAGCAATCCGAGCCTGCACCGCCTGTCATTGTTACTGTGTGAACAAACTGAAGTAAGGTGTAGGCTGCTCAGCAATGCAGAGGAATTGCTGCTTTTAAAAACTGTATATATGATCAGATCATACAGTGTTGGTCAATGAAACCTTTTTCTTCCATCCTCTTCCTCAAACAGTTCAAAATCTTCCTCTATCGACCAATTATCTTACTCGCCGTCTAAGTAAGAGTGGGTCATACTTTAGAGGGCCAAAGTACAACCATTCTTCTAAACTACCATCTTTTTCATCCTATACTGTACTCCTTATTCTACTTCCTCCATTTCCTAGCGGAGTGCTACTTCGGCTCTTTTATACCCCTTTCACACAGACAAAGTGAGGCGATATTAAAACTGCATTGGCAGTCGATCTGAAGAGATCAGCGCGCATATTCCACCTGGCATATCACCCCACCTCCCAGCCTGGGTTGAATGCTCCTCAGCGTTGGAGAACAGACATTGCAATAAGGGATGGGAATTACAATAAAAGTTACTGATATTTAAATTACATTTAAAGACGAGCAAGAGAGACCTGAGACCGCGTGAGTGGTTGAGCCAGAGAGAGCAAGAGTGCTGAGAGACTGTGTTTGGTACTTAAGGTTTTTGCAGCAAACTCTCTGGAACTACAGTATTAGACGCAAGTCTGTGTGAACTGTAACAACAGGCGATTATCTTATGACAATGTAATTTGAATAGGTTGAAGGCGCGTTCACTGAACACGCGGCATATGCGTACATGTCTCCTGTATCGGAGGGATAGATTAGATAGTGTGAGGTGCTGTGGGGGGGTGCTAGGAGTTGATCACGATTTGATAGGTGGAGCCATTTTCTGGGTGGGACTTGGCTTCGGTGGTGGTGGTTGGCTTCGGAGGCCAGTCGGGGTCCACGCTGAGCTCCTGGGCCAGATGCATGTAGCGAGCTTTGGGTGTAATCTTGCTTGGGCAGCACAGCCGGGACAGACACTTGTACGCTCGCAGGTCAATGACCCCCTGAAAATGCCACAAACCAGAAAATAAACAAAGAAATGAAATGAAAATATTAGAGAAAGGAGGAAAGGGAGAGAAAGGTAGGAAAGGTTCCATTAACTGGTGTCATAATCTGTTTGGGTTTTACTGACCAATGCATATCTGACAGTGGCATGCAAAATATAAAACTGGAGAGGAGCCATTTCAACGCAGGCACATTTCTTTACACTGGTGAATTGTAACAATGGTTCATGCATGAAAGACAGTTAAAACAAAATTCAGCGTGATAATAGTTTGAGGGATAGTTTGGCAGTAGAAAGATTAAAGACTGAGTCCACTCCCTAAAAACAAGCTCAAGGAGTCAAAAGATCAAACAAACAAAAGGATTCCACAGCAGATCTTGACAGATAAAAAAAGTCAAATTTTCTCCTTCAATTTGAAATATACTGTTTGATAGGAACCATGACAGCATTGACTTACAGTTATCTCGGAGCTAACAGGGAAAATGAGAGTGCAGCAAATGGAGCTTAGTAGGGCATTCAGCAAGGTGGATCTATGGTGGTTTCTAAAGGAGGCGGAAGCTTCATTCACTTGATCATCAAGCTTCAAAGTAAAGGTACTACTTTCCAGTCATAAACATGTTCATCTCAATTTAAATGCGTTGAACAGTGACCACCAGTAACTCTACATTTGGAAATAGCGTTCAGCAATAGTAAGAATGTTATTAAGTAAAATACTTGTCTTTAGGAGCAGTTATGAAGCTTATCTCTCAACGGAGCCGCAGAACAGAATGGTTTGAAGTTAAACTGCGACTGTTCTAAAGCCCTAAACAGAAGGCCCTTCAGAGGCACACGAGAAGGAGAGGACGAGCAAGAAGGAGAGCGACGTCTCGCACATGCATTTCACACAAGAGGAAAATGAGAGGGCGAAAGAAGAAGGTGTCAGATTTTCCCAACCTGTGGTGACGGGGCGACAGGAGTGATGCCAAAGCTGCTCTGTTTGTCTCGGCTGAACACAAGCTTCCATAAGATGATGTCAAGGATGAAGGTCTATGGAATAGTGCAGTGTGCAGGGGAAAGAATTACAGAGTGGCTAATTTGATTTCTCATAGCGTCTGCATTGTTTTTGCAGAGCCACAATGTGTCAAAGCTTTTAGTAATCATGTGTGGCAGCTTTCTTCCATCAAGTTGTGTGTTAATCGTTACATGCGAGGTTCAAATTAAAGTAAACCAATTAGTAAGAAGAAAGTGCATGGACACTGGTGTATCAAAATGCTGAACAAAATGCTAAAATCTTTGATTATGTGCAAAATATATAAACTTTTTTTTTTATTCAATTAAAACAGTGAAAGGAGTTTTCACTGGAAGTTTAGGAAATAGCCTCATCTAGGGTGCTAAGGAGTGCATCAATGCAAGGCAGTCATCTAAAAGGAAGGCAGAGGCGTTATGATACTAATCCACAGTGTGCTATCCATGCTGGTGCAGCAATGAATTATTTTCTTCTATCCATCTATAAACTAGAGGAAGACAAACATATGTCAGAAGCCCAACAACTGTTAACATTTCAGAAAAAGCACACCTTAAAGTGTTTCAACTATTACAAATACTGCAGTTTGTCTCTTCAAAGAAAAAAACATTTTCACTTCACAAAATAAATTCTTCTCACAACACAAGGTTGATCCTGCTGTCCAGCTAAATGAGACAAAGGTGAGCACACTGCATGAAAAAAACAAAAGCTGAACATGAGAAAAACATCGACTGTAACCGTGTGTTTAAGTGCGTGTCTTACCTCCATGAAAACAGACACCACAGCATTGACTAAGATGATGAGGAAGAGTTTTATCTTCCATTCAATCGGGACACAAACAATCTGTACAGAGAGAGAGAAAGAGATACTCCAACGCTGACCTTCAGATTATTTGAAAGACAGCTTTGTTTTACGGCTTGATGTGCCTGCAACACTTGAGTTAGGCCCATCGAAACGATATAGATAAAGAGTATCGAGCTCGGCATGATGAAACGAGCTACGCCAGTCTTTTGTTAACGTCACCTTACCTCTAGAAACTCATCAATGCCTTTGACAGGGTGGAACATGATGAACAGCAGGAAAACATACAAACTCAAGGCAGACAGCACAAAAGGCCCTGGTGAGAAAACATGCAAGCACAGAAACACACACAGAATTATAACATATACAAGTAACTTTGTAACTAATGCATGAGCGATTTACTCGGAAGCAAGTTTCTTACAATTCTTGTAGCTAGGCTGCCTGAAAGGTTTTCCCTTTGAGAAAACAATGGCAACAACGAGATACTGGAAGGAGGAGACATAGAAGAGGCTGGTGTTCTCGTAGTTTTGGATGTTGTGGTCGTCCACTTCTGTGTCATTGTGGTCAGACACGTTAGTATACGCTGACGGGTTGCAGACACTAGGCGAAAGGAGAGTTTGATTCAAAGACAATCAAATAACATTTTCAGTCTGCGGTCAAAATACAGACATCTACAACAGCATACTGGGGCCATTGTAAACGTATTAACATTGTAGATATTAAAGGCAAAAATAGTTGTGATAAATAAAAATAAAGGCACAAATTTAGCCTCAGTCTAAATGTCATTGCGTATGAAGTAGTGTTCACATAGTAAGGATGGAATTTTTCCTTTTATCTACAATGGCCCTAATAAGCTGTCGTAGAAATCTGTGCACATTACAGTTATGAAATTATTCTCAAATAATATCTAGTTAACCATCATGTTGTGATGTTATCTTTGTTTAGCTAAGGTACATTGACAATGATAGCAGGTACCCACTCTGTAAGTGGAGTCCAGACTGTGTACCAGGACTGCTGTCGGACCCAAAGGAATGTAATGGTCTGGAAGCCCAAGCAGACGAGGATCTGGGTCAGCACGGAGAACAACAGAGGCCCCGAGATCAGACCCGACGGGGGACGACGTGACACCAGTTCCGTCCAAGACGGATTCAGACTCACTGAGGAGGAGCAGTGGGAAATGATGAAGATGGGAGAAAACAGACATTATGGGTGAGGAGAAGAGACCTGAAGTAAACATATAGGTTAAGAAAAATAAAAGCGAGACAAATCACCATGATAAAAAAAAACGCATCCCCTTATCCATGAGACTTTTCTTATACTTACTGGTAAAGACAATAAGGAGGATGATGGCAATATCAATGAAGAGGAACTGGAAGTCTCCAAGGTTACTGAGGATCTTAGAAACAAAGTCAACAAACAGCACAGATTACAGTCTTATTCCTCACACATTGCTCAGCTCCTATGGTTTGTGGAAGCAGCGTTACATACAGAGTAGAGGAGAGTGACGCTGATGTACTGGATGATGCTGTAGAGCGCCATGAACTTGAAAACGCAGAAAGAGGTGATGAGAGCGGCACGCCCCTCCCTGTAAAAGCAACACATAAAGTAACATTATGTCATGTAGATATACAAACACTATGAGTTAGTAGGTGAATTTAAAAAGCATGTGGTGGTTTACTTGTATTGAAGTGTGAAAATGTAATAAATGTTAAAGCTCAAAACTAAAAAATGTTACAAAAAAAAAAAACAGAGTTTATGCTTCATTACCACCACTACTAAATAGCAAGTAATGACAACATTCATTCATATATTCTCTGCCACTGTGTGGCACAGAAATGAAGACTAACTTGATGAGGCTGGGGACACAGGAGATGTTGGGGGTCCTGGAGGTGAAGGGAGACGCTACAGAGGCCTCGAGCTCTGACAGAGAGATGCCACCATGTGCCCTCTTCAGAGCCTGGGTGAGGAAAGTGAGAAATATAAAGTACGTCTCGACTACAATCAATCAACGTCAACCTGATATTCTCATATTGTTAGTTACTTTTGAAATGCCTGTACATACCCCACAGTCGTTTGCTCCGTCTCCGCACATCCCCACAAAGTAGCTGTGAGCAAATAAAGAAGAGCAGTTACTCTGTGCTCAATGGTTCTGACTGAAGGCCGATTCAACTGCCGACTCTCTCAGTGGCAAGCAGCAAATACTGTGGATGTAACACTTCAATAAACTTTGGACTACAGCCCGTTTTCGACATTGATACTCACTCTACGCCTTGCAATGCCTCAATGAGTTGAGTTTTCTGGTCCGGGGCCATTCTGGCAAACACTGTGCCATGCAGCACCAACTGCAAGGCAGCACATACAATAATAACACAAACTTGAGGTATTGTGATAGTTGTACCCAAAGAACAGTAGGAGCAACTTTATCGTTTCCTCTTCAGTTACAGAAAAGGTTGGAGGGATATCCACTCCCATATAAGAGACCTCGTACCTTTTGAAGCATGTCAGGGAAATGCTCGGAGATGACGGCAAACGATTTTCCGTTCATAGCAAAGTGATACAATTCTTTTGTTTTGGGCTCATCGACGTGAGACACATCCTCCAGACTGACGTTCATGTCCTGTTGAAAGTAATGACGGTGTGGATTAGAGCGTTTTGCAAGAGTCATATTTTTTATGCAACTGTTGTATTAGATTGCACTATGTAAACTAATGTATTTAGTCGTTTAAATTATGTTCTTTCATATACACTGAAACAGGATTGTGTGCTGACTTTATTCAAGGTCTTCTTAGCATTTTTCGGCAGTTTAAACCAGATTGTTTTCCCAGTGTTAAAGTCCTTTGTGCACTTACTTAAAGACATTTTGCTTAGATCTTTCTTTGACTGACAATCAGAGGAAATGTGATTCCCTACCTCCTTGTCACAAATGACCAACAACTTCACTTTTTGGGTTCCAGAGCCAGTTGAGACACAAGAGTATATGCCCACATGTAGCCTTGTATTGCGTGTCCGATTGTGCAAGCCTTTGTATCGGTAGCTCTTTCTCTCTCTGTGTGTTTTGTGCGAGTACTCGTGTTAGCATCGGCCCCATCGCCTCACCTCCAGGCGCGATGTCTTGCCCGCCTTGTCAGCGTATCTCCAGGTGATCTTTGCAGCTTGTCCATCATGGGGAGGGAGGGCATCAGCAATGATGACTGTATCTTGGGGAGGGATCATTCCACAGTCCCGGGCCACAGAGATGGCTGTCAGCATGTTGTCACCTGGATTGTGAATACAGCAAACATTTATTATTATCCTTTTTTTTTTTATGAATTACCAAATAAACGTTTAGCTTCAATGTGAGATATTTACGAACTGAATTTTCCTTTTGAAACCTGTGACGCAACCTTGAAAAGACAGATTATAACGGTGAAAGCAAGGCATTAAATAAATCCTCTGGTGGATATTGAAGTTAGTTTGTGCCAGTTACATTGAGTTATTAATTGAGATTACAAGTACAGTTGAGTAAATTCCAGAGGCATTATAAGTTCTGAGTGCCAATACACAGATTACCAAACTAATTATGCTGCCTGTGTCAATACAAGGTTTTCAATGAGCAACTAAAGACAGAGAAAGACATGAAAGAGTGTGTGCCATGTTCACTGTATGGAGACATTTGCATATCTGTGTGTCCTCCTTAGTGTTCATGTCATTTTTGGTTTAGTTAAAGGTTGTGTGAATGTGAGCACGGTCTCACCAGTAACCATGACTGTGCGGATGCTGGCTCGGTAGAGGTCCTGCAGCACAGCTGGAGTTTCTGGCTTCAGCTTGTTCTGCATGATGATCAGACCAAGGAACTCCATGTTTGCCTCAATGTGATCCCTAATTTAACAGAAAATCCGTACACATTTGTAATGGGTCATTGATTAGAGGAATGCAGGCGTGACAGTGTGAAGTAGCGTGCTAAAAAAAAGTTCTCTGGATAGGTTTAAGATGATGGGCAACTGCAACAATATCGATACAATACAGAACTCTACCTGTTGATGTTCTGCACTTTGTGCCAGGTGAGTTTGGATTCAAGTCGACGATGAGCCAGAGCGATGACCCTGAAACCCTGCTTGGTGTAGCCCTCCAAAATCTCTGCAAAGTTTTCTGGCACTGCAAAGAGACAGCGAGACATTGAAGAAATTAGTAAATTTAGAGAGTGGCAGACAGCAAGTAAACAACAATAATCCAATTCTCTATCTAATTGGCCTATAATAAACCAGCCACCGATGTATCCTGCATCCCCAATAATAATAATACCTTTAGTGTTATACAGCAAGATAGCAGTAACTGTAATTAGACTACTCACCCGTCTCTTTCTTGCAGATACTAGCCACCACTTCTGGCGCTCCCTTCATGTAGGCATCCATACGTTTCTCCCCCAGCAGGCGAGCCACCACACACATCCTCTGGAGTGCTGAAGAAAAGGGAAACTGGCGCACGATACCTATCTCATACGCTGACTATATATGCACACACGCACACGCACACACACACACACAAAAACAAATAACAGTCTTCATTATGTCAAGAAAAGGATGAAAAAAAACAACAATTCCATCACAGACAATGCTAGTAAATGACCAACTGCAAAATTCCAATTCCTGGGATATTAGCTTCATTTAATGTTGGTTGACAAAATCCTGACACATATACAGATTAGATCATCATTTGTTTGATACTGAACAATAAACAAATTGAAGACAAAAGTTTGTCAACTTACAAATAATATAAAATTGCTCATCTTAAACAGACTTTTATTGTATCTGGCCAAGATTAGTAAATAGAAGGCCACTATTACGCCCAACTTTACTGCCAGTTAAAATCAAAAAACTTTTATTTTGTAGTAAATCACTTTATATTTTTACAGTTATGGTTACAAACTCTCTACCTCCCTACACTCGTATTATGTGTGTAATTCATTTGACAAAAAGAGACAAAACACACACAACAAACTAAATTAAAGATGAATTGGACTGACAGCATTGTTACTATTCATTTATGTATTTAGTACTTTTCATAAAAAGAAGCAGACTACTTACCGTGAGGTCATAGAGTTCCTAGAATGAGGAAAAAGAGCAGAGTTTGTCAGAACAAATAAACTAATCATTCACAGTATTAATAATGTTGCTGTGCTCTGGTGGTAGTGTCTATTGATGTTGCATTGAGGTACGAGAGTATGTTGGTTTTAAATATAGCCAATAAACTAAAGATTGCACGATAAAAAAAGTCTGAGAAAGAATAACAATGTCCAAAACCACACTCCAAATCTAATATTTTATTAACTACATTAGATTTATAGATCTGTATATAGTTAAATGTCTGTACTGAAAATATAGGATTTTGGACATTTCCCAGACTTTGAGGATCTGTGGTCGTTTTTAGGAATGACTGGGTTGCTCTTCATACCATGTCCTGCTCTGGTGATGCTGCAGGCTCTGGGGGCAACAGCTGTTTTGGGGGTCGGACAACAGTGGGCATGATACGGTTGTGGAGAGATGTTTCCTCCTCAGTGGCCTCCTCCAGGATCTGGGCCAACAAAGGTTTAGAGAAGATAAGGTTCAGAAAAAATGTTGATGCAACAACAGCAAGAGATTTCAAGAATGTGTAAACATATTTGACATAATGAATATCTTTTAGATAATCTCTCTCTCTTTCTGTCTCTCACTGCTTGCCTGAACATAAAATGATTTCCAAAGGCTATTTGTCCCCACAGTCTGACTAATTACATTCCCACTGTGCTGCTTTGACCAACATTTTGCTTTTGAATAGATACAGAACAACTCACCCAGCCGATAGCCTCAAACATTTTGAGGTCCAGCGGATCTCCAGACAGCTGGCCTTCTATTTTGGTAAGAGAGTGGCAGGTGGCCATACAAGCCACAAACTGGGACTTCACAAGATTTTCCTTATATGCGTTTTCCTCTGACAGATGGAAACTGAAGAAACAGCAGGTGAACGAGGGAAAGAAGGTTTACTGATTGGCTCAAGTAAGAATAATAATAAATCAATTTTCTATAGCGCTTTTCTCGATACTCAAAGACGCTTTACAAGGCAAAGAAGAACTGACTGCTATTTTTACGATGTGAAAACATATTTCATGAGGAGAATAAAAATGCTTCCAGAAGCACTACATGTATAACAAAATAGTACAGCAACAGTGCATGATTACTAATATCATTGATTCTTGCCACCATTATTTTTCTAAACATCATCACCACAGAATCAATAACTACTATTCTAAATTAAGAGAAATAAATAATCACTCAATATTCATGCACATTATAATATCTGACGATATGCAGCTGAATACAAAATTTCACAAGTGGATACTGGCTGGTTGAAGATTTTGTTGATCTCTTCTGATACCTAATTAATTTCACAATCATAACACAATAATCCCAGTTCATAATCAGTCGAGATTTCAAGCATTTACAAGAATTAGAAATGAGACCTCGCGAAAAAGACATTCCAAATCCTTTCCACCAGGTAATCAGCAAAGCAATACCAGCTCAGCAATCGCTAAACTGAGACAATGACTTGAGATTTCTTTGGCATGCAGCCTAAATGTATTGGAAGAGTGGTATTTCCACGTTTGATTCATTAGAGTACGGACCAGTTTACCTGCCATTCTCAACCCTCTGAACTCCCCATAGGTCTAATCCATCTTCTGTCAGAGTTCCAGTCTGTAGGCAGAGAGAAAGTATCACTTCAGAAGTACATTTTTGATTAAATCAAATAGAATTTCTCAATTACTCAAAATGTTCTAGTGGCACTATTGTTCAGATCACTGTGTTGTATATGTCTGCACATTTCGTTTAATTTCCGGTGTGTACTTTCTTGTTGGCCTCCAGAAAATGGAAACCCTTCTTCAGCAATATCTCAGGTAAGTGCTGACTGCTTGAGGAGCATAAACAGTCATAATAAAACCACTCGTACTCGCCTTGTCAAAGCAGACCAGATTGATCTGACCACAGATATTGATCCTCTGTGGACTGATGCAGAAAATGCCAAGTTGTTTGAGGCGTCGCTGGGCGTACACAATGCCAGCTGTCATGGCGGCTGGCAGCGCCGGTGGCACAGTGATGGTGATGATGTCCAGGGACTCAATGATGATGGTCTTAGCTGGCACCTGGAGCAGACAGAAAGGAAGGGACAAGGGAACAATATCATCTCAAACAGTTCATGTTCTGCAGCACACACTGATTCAGAAATGTATTGCCTTGCAGTTTTTAAGTTGCGAAAGCTTTTGCAAAAAGTTGCACCAAGGGAGGGTAAGGCTAAAACACCAGTCAGTAAGTATCAGATGACCAGAAAGAGGACTCAAGTAAACTAAGAGTTTGTTTTGGAGTTATTATGCCAACAAAAAATCTCTTCAGTTCACTTTCAAGCTTCAGCAACAGATACAACTGTGGTTGTATTCTAGTAGCTCACAAGTACGTAAATCAACAGAAAGACAGAGCCAATCAATGTTCTATGGGACAGTACAAGATTTGACTTTCTTACAGTTGCACTCCCTTTTTTCTACCTCCTTTACTTCTGAAACTCTAAACCCGACAAAATCAGAATATTGGCATTTGTCTAATCTGCTCGTCATTTGCGAGATTACCTTGTTCATGACGCTGAGGACAATGGAGTAGACAAAGCCAATTCCAGCCACAGCCACCAGACACAACAGGAAGAGGTAGGCATCACGGTACAGCTTGAAGTCGGTGGGTTTTGGGTAAAGGATAGAGCGCACCAGCTGGCCTTTGGCTGTGCTGAAACCTGGGTGAAGAGATTGTTAAGAGAAGTTTTGGGTCAAACGTTTTTCAGACAGGAGCGAAGGTCTCTGAACTGTATTAAACAAGGATTCAACTGCGGAGCACATAATATAAAAGCTTCCTGAATAAAAGGGATATGTCCCTTTAAGACATTTGATGTTTTAGTACCCACATTTCTACACCAAACATCAAGGAAATGTACGCTAACTTACAGATCATCCAAACATCAACAGTTCTGAATACATATCCCCAGACACACTTACCTGTGCTGACCACCACAGCCTTGACCAGGTCTCCTGTGTAGAAGCGGGTCTGGATGACGTGGGTGCCACAGAAGAGTGTGTGTCTCTTATGTTCCTCTGTGTTGTAGGCACTGTCATCCTCCTCCCCCATCTCCCCGGGCAATGGGTTGGGGAGGTTGGTCTTCGTCACAGGAACGCTCTCACCTGATGGGGGGTTAGATCGATATTATGAGTGGCTGCTGTGAGATTAACAGCAAAAGCATTTTTCCCTTTCAGAATCTGAAACTGTTTATTGACAAGTTTGTTACACATACAAGGAATTTGGCTCGGTGATTTGGTGCAGTAAAAAAATAAATGTTTGGAGTTTCTTGTGCCCGTTTGTTAAGTTCATGAAGAAATATTCCTACAGTCGTTCTCACTCTTGAGTTACTTAAATTTCCAGATGTCGCCTCTAACCTGTGAGCATGCTTTCATTGACGATGCAGGTGCCGCTGACCAGCACGGCGTCACATGGCATGATGGTCCCATTGCTGGGGATGACCATCACATCACCGGGCACCAGATCAGTAGACAAAATCTCTTCGATTTCTGCCAGGAAGGGGGGGGTTGCGCAATGGAGGAGTGGAGAAGGTAAATGTGTGCGTTAAATACAGACAGGTGAAGTGCAGTGTGGGTAACAAAATAGAAGACAGGAAATGCTACGTGTGTAGAAAGGTGTAACGTGTGTAAATGATCCGTAGCAGTATCAGATGGTGCATGTGGGGGTGAGGAACGAGATATTTTGTCTTGTTCAGCACATCTCTCATTACACACGCCTCTCTAGGCAGCAGGAAAAAAAAGCTTAGGTATCACAAGCAGGGCCAGTGCAGTAAATGGATGCATAAATTAAAGTATCAGCAGTGTACAGACTTCCAGAGCAATGTTTCGAACTGATTCTGAGCACCAGTTCAATTTTGTCCTTTGGCCAACTCACAGCATTCATTTCAAATCGGTTTCAGCTGATAAGACACCTGATGACACTGTCATGCATCATCTCTGCAGACACTATCGCTCATTTAAAAAGGAGTTCAGACATACAAAAGAATGTGCAGAACTGTTTGAGTGCTTTATAAATGTACACATATGCTATGCCCGCTATCAAACATACACCATGTCTCTCTCCAAGTCTGCATTCTCCCACCCTAGCAGCGTAACTAGTGTAAATTGAGTTTGGCCAAGCACAGAAGCATAAAACATGTCTACCATCAGGTCTGGTTTGGAAAGCAGTCTTCAGAACAGCAGGAGACTGACCAGAATAAAACATGCCATGCACTACTATTAGAAATGACTCAACAGAGGCCACAGAAAAAGACAAAACTTAAAAGAATCGACAAACCATTGTTGGCTCGGCATACAGACACACGGACAGTACTGTGAGTTGCCACCATATCATGAAGCATGATGTATTGCTGGAAAAAAAGGAGAAAAAAAAAAAAAAGATGAGAAACTTTACACAGCTTCTTGATCCCCATGACCACTTGTGTGACTGCAAAGTTGTTTTTCTCTGAGTTTGACTATGTAGCCAGCAACAGCAGGCCGTATACCAAATGTCATGGTAATCTTGGTCATTTGCTGTTGAAGTATCTTGCTCTGGATCAAAGTGTTGGGACGGAGAAGCCGGCAAAAATATTAAAAGCAAAAAGTGCAGTAACCTGGCATAAATGTGTCTCTAAATTACAACTATACTAAACATAACCCAATCACAAAATGTTAAACACAAGGGGATAATTGCTTAACTCTCTGTGTGTGAGCACATGAATCTACTTTCTCTTCCAATTCAATTTAACCAGGTCATGCCATAACTACGAGGTCAGATAAACGGCTCAGCCTTTTGTAAAGCTCACCTTTTTGATGGTGTACAGAGAGGTAGCTATGGATATGACCGACATGAAAAGAATGGCCACAGCATAATAGTAATACTCATCGGCACTCCACAGGATCACGCTGAAGAGCTGGAAGATGTAGAAAGGGTTTAAAACCTGCAGGGGAAGACAAAGACTCGTATTAGTTTGGCAACGGCAGAGGTGAGAGCATGAAGGAACGACTACAATGAATTTAAAAACAGAGATGTCTACTTGAGGGCATAACCAAGACGTTACCAGGACAGTGAGGCAGAAAAAAAATCTGCTTAACACAAATGATCAAGTTCACATGCTTTAGCAGTGTTTGAGGTGCAAGGGTATGAGATGCATTAGGTAATGTTACCCAAGTTGTTTTGAGCGCGAGTTGTGACCCACATCACTGTGTTGGTCTGCAGGGGGCATTAGTGCAGTATTTAACGTACCTCATAAATACTGTACATACAGAGAGTAGATATCCCAAATAGCTTCCTCAACAAGTATGCACATAACTATGCTCTATCTACTAGCTGGGAAAGAGAGCAGGTTAACTAGTGTGGGTTTGACAATGTTTGCTTTAAGAGGAACTGAACAGAAACCATAACCTAACAAGTCTGTAACTTGTAACAGATGAGTACACGTTTCATTCAAGGGGAATTCAAACTCTGAGTTACAGAACAGGCTGTCTGTGTTAATGCAAACTGGGCCCTACCTCTTTGATAAGCAGCTTGAAAACAGAAGGCACTTTCACTGCAATTTCATTCACTCCGAAGAACAGTCTCCTGGCAAGAGGTGAAAGAGACATTCGTGAGCCAAGTTTGAACCAGACCTTCATATCTAAACACACATACACATGCAAACATACACATAAGTATGCAGCAAAGTTACACAGCAATGTAACATTTAAGGTTACGGGTATGCAGGTTTTCATTCTTAAGAAAATGATCAGATGATTTCTCTCATTGCTTCCTCTCCCTCTCATTTAAATTATCTATGCTCTGTACAGTATGAATTATCATTTTAATATTTCTGCACTGACTTCCCCTGACCACTTCTGAGAATATAAACTGCAGCTAGAGTAACTCAAACAACAGAATAATGTGAGTAACCTCCTCCTATCTGGCTGTCTAAAGTTGTGCGAGCTTTTCCTTCAGACAGGTGAGGTGTTACCTGTACTCCTGCTGGTTCCTGGTCAGGCCTGTACTGTGCTCCAAGTGGAGGGTGGAGCAGCTGACCTGCAGATCATCCAGGCCACTGTCGGGGGAAATATGGGTCAAGGCAGGGGACAAAGTCAACACTTAAGACTTGTGCTGCAGGCACAGTTTAGTGTAATTCAGACGTTTTACAGCTTGTTTTTCCTCATTTTTCTTTGCAGCTCTTTGTTAGTTAACGAATGTGACTGTGCATATTTAGTTATCTTTACTGCTGTGTAATGATGTGCACACACTGCCAGATAAAGCCCTCAAACTATTTAGCTCACTTTAAGTGAAAACTTCTCTGCAGCGAAAGTTTCTGGAAACTGGTTAAAGAGAGAAAAAAAAAAAAAAAAAAAAAAAAAAAAAAAAGCCTGTCAAACTTCTGTAGATAATAAAACAACTCTTACTTTAAAACGTCAAAGTTCTGCGCCCCGTCGTTCCAATAATACTTTGTGCTATGGAAGGTAAAATACCGAATCTGAAGGAATACAACAGGGGAGGGGGCAGAGGGAGGAGACATTACAGCATTACTGTATGTACAAATTTAAAGGCAAGAAACAGTCAACTTAAAAAATAACAGAAAACTGATGAGAAGCAGTTTCACAAAGTGCAACATTTACAATTCCGATAATGTCACTTTGAACGATTGGACGACATTACATTATATTTGTATTGTTGGGTTTGTTGAGATGAGGCATTATGTAATGAACGTGGTTAGTGGAGATTACCCACAAGGACAGCGAGGCAAAGGAGTGCATGCATCTCTGTGCTTCAAACAGAAAGAGAAAGACAGAATTCTGTTTCTATGCGACATACCTTTTACAATCTGCGGTATCACTACTGATAAATATGCATATAAGTATAATTACACACGAGTACAACTTGCCAACCCTTCAATCAACCTTGGACAGAATAACACAGACACTTGGTTGCCATTCTGGCAGCCAGTTTATCGTTTCCATCACTGGTGCATTCTGTGTGTGTGTGTGTGTGTGTGTGTGTGTGTAGTATATTGTGGAGACAGGTGCCTACCTGTGTGGGCTGGTAGTCACCAAAACTTCTGATGAGCTCCTGAGCAGGGCTGCCATCAGAGGAGTGGGGGTTATATCCATTGGCCAGATGGGGGGAGGAGAAGGGACAGGAGGGAGAGTTAGGGGAGGGGGAGGTGGTCTGGGTCTCCAGGCTGTGGAAGGGGTTGCTCCCCGGGGCCAGCATCACTCGTACCCTGGCCAGGAACCAGCGTCGGAACTCATCCTAGACAAAGAAATACACAAAGTTGTAGTCCTGGACCTTTAAAAAGGAATACTACGCCTCCAACGTTAAAGTGAAGAAAGATGCATGTGTTTGGCAAGTACTGAGCATTCGACTGCATGAATGAGACTTTGATTATACTGCACAAGTAGTGAGAGCTTTAAACTCATGTTTTGATACAGTTTTGCTGTTGTAAATGTGGCCCCCATTTACTTCATAAATATACACAGTACATCATATGTCCCTTTAAGTATCCACCATAAAACATTGAATTATCTGTGTATTCCTGCTGGTGTGACTGTCTGTAGGATTCAGTCAGACTCAATGCATTTACTGTGCTGCTACAATACATCAGTTGTATTCACTCACAGCTTTAAAAGTTCATGGGGTTAATATATGTTATTATTATTTTGTTTACATCCGTTTTTTCAAACCATAAACTGAGTATAAAAGAACGTATACAATGTGTTATGCATGGTAGGTGTCTGATACTGTAGTATAAGATAACAGGTCTGCAAAAAACATAAAATAGGTGTAATTTGAAAAGTGCACCATCCAGTATGCTCCTAGATTGGTCAACAGATTAACCTTTTTTACATTAGCCACAGTGGGTAGTAAATTTCCTTAGTTCATCATCTTTGTCCACTAAATCAGCATCCAACTACCTTTCACATTTGTTAAAAGTCTAAATTGTTTGACTGTAAATTTAAAACCTCACAGCTTAGCTTGCTATAAGCTGCAAATAACACTTAGTCATATTTGATTAATCTGCAAATTATTTTAATTGTTTAGTCTATTTCTTAAAGCCAACGGTGATGTCTTCAATTAGCTTGTTTTGTGCAACCAATAGTTTAAAACCTTAACATATTAAATATCGTGTCATATATGACAAAGGAAAGCAGCAAATTCTCCGATTTGAGAAGCAGAGACCAGTAAATATTTGCTTTAAAAATGACAAACAATTCATGAATGTAGTTGCCGTCTGTTGACTAAGCGATTCATTATTGCAGCTTTACTTGCTACCTACTGTGGAGCGCAGCAATACCACTTCGGCATCACGGGCTGTGGTACGGGTGCAGGTGGATTTGACGCACCACTCTGGCATCCAGTAGAGCAGCAGGAAGAGGAAGCCCCCCGTACACAGCACCCCGAAGCCCACCAGGGCCACCCGCCAACGACACAGACGGTAGCCCTGCAGCTCCTGAAGGGTGGGAGCAGAAAAGGGGACGCAGTCTTTTAAGGCAGAAAGCAATAATTCCCACAATGGCCCTGATGTTAAATGAAAAAGAGCCGTACCATCTCCTCCTCTTCCCCTTTGTTGAGGACCTTCAGGTCTTCCTTCTCCATGCTGCAGAACAGTTTGCCAAGCTCCTCCCTTAGTCACTGCAAACACAAACAGGCAAAATGTCAGCGTCAACAGTGTGGAAAACCATTTCAGCTTAACAGCAAATTAAAACCGAGAGTATACACCAGAGGGTCACAAGATGCTTACTAGTGATATGATGCAAAAAGAGAATTGTGTGGAAAATGCTGCGTTTGTCACCACACATTTATCACATCTTTGATAGCTTCCTCTGTTATATAATGATCCTGGGGAAAAACCCAGATCATCGCTAGTTGTATTTTATGCAGTTAACTCTGCATTCCTGTGGTTGCAAAGCCCTGCATGCACCACAAATCACTTCATAGTTGAGGTTCATGAGAAGGATTAGTGACCACAAATGTGCAGCCAATTAATATTTAATCTGGAGTGAAAATCTGATGGTACATTGGTGGGGCAAAGGAGTAACTTTGCTGGTGACCCTTGAAATCCAATTAGCCAGCCTTGCAACAACCCCAAACACATCGCTGACTCAGACTAATGCACTTAAATTATCTGAAATGTAATATCCGTCTCTAAGCATACTGCAAAGTTCTTATTTCAGGATTTAAAACATCATAAAAGGTTCTTATCATTGCATCATTCACTCATCATTTCAACATTAATAGACTTATTTTTAAAGAAACTGAATTGACCTAAATACTTTAATTACATACTTAAATTTGAAGAAGGCAAACATGAGTAAGATCAATTTTGTTAATAAACTGGCTCCTTTGGGTACTCTGGGAATCATGGGCGCAGGTAAGTGGCATGTAGACGGGCTATAAGGATGGTGAGAGGTGCAATGCAGAGGCAACAGATGTCAGAGTTGGACAAATTATGTGTAAGGTTGTAATAATGATTTCATGGGAGGCTCAACAATTACATTTTATCAAAATCAAAATTTGGCCTCTTGCAATTTTCAAACCAGAGGAGGTGCAATATTTTTTAAAGGCAAAATGTGTGTCAACATACCAATTTAAATTAAATATTGCCGTGCTGCAGACATATCCTGGCCTACACATCATATTCTACGGATTCAAGAAAACATCGTTGTTTGGTTCAGTTCCCTGCAAAAATCCCCCCATGATCATTTTTAAACATATTTTTCAAATGAAAAGGAGAATAATCATCATAATCATCCTCTAATTTGATACTTTACAGTGGAGTCACCATGACATAGATTTATTGCTGAGAAGATATTATCATCTGAGGTACAAAGTGCAGGAAAGCTACGAGAGGTCAATAGTTCTTTGAGCACATGACACACACACACAAACTACAAGAATGCACAGCACTTCCAAGACAGCTGCTTTACCTCAGATCACCCATCTCTTAAGAGTGTCATCACACCCACACACAGACCAATGGAGTAATCTATGCGTGTTACCTAATATCAAGCTCGACCCTATTCCCTCCTCTCAGTTGTCTCAGGAGGACTGGCCAGCTGCCAACGAGGGCACACTACCACTTTGTGCGAGTGTGTATGCGAGTTCTGCATTGATATTGAGAGAGAGGGGCATCTAGGTCAAAAGATGAACAGGCTTTTGGAAATACCAGTTGGGCTGCAGGCCGTCTGTGTGGCTAAAAGTAGCTCCAGCAGGCTAGCTTGTCATTTTGTTGCTCGTGCATTGTATTGAGTTACAGAAACAGTAAGGCTGAATTCATGTGCAGTCAAACTGATGAAGTAGTACGAGAGGTGAGAGAGGTTAATTAGGCTAGTTGGTTATCAATTAGTCAAACGGGTACACTGTGGATTTCACTGGCATCCCATCCGGGGCTCTACAGTGCAAGCAGTTTGCTCGCATACCCCCAGTGACAATTAGAATGTGCAAATGTGAATCATTATTTGGGTGCACCACTGGGAATGACTCAGTTCTGACTCGGGATGCCCCCGGGACCCTGGTTCTGAATTGTAGACAGTTCTCAATACGTTTTCAGGGTTATTTTAAGGGCGGTTCTTTAATCGTCACTTGAGGGAGATTAGCAGAGCAGAAAAATAGGATTTTGGTGTCATGTATGATGGCACATGCCGTCTCCCCACTTTGTCTTTCTCTGCTCTGCTGTGTTTAAGTGCAATACAACTCCTATGAGTAAACTCCAATGAGAATCAAAACAACTGCTGAACAAGCATAAACTTGCACAAATGTGATTTAATCAACTGTTATTTTTTCTGGAAAAGCCAGCTCCACTCCCAACCTGCAGTACCTGTCAGACAGTGAGTCCACATCAGCAGGGTGAGGACGAATTTAAAAGAGTCTAAATAAATTTACTGTTGATACGAATGATGTGCAAAGCATTCAGGTGTTAAACATCATGCAATGATACAGCCATTCATTCAACTACCAGCTGCTAAGATTCATCCGAATCAAATGAAATATGTAAACAAAAACATCACATCCTCTTGTCTATTCTCTTTAGACTTTTTTTAGCTGGTTATATCCAAACTTCCAACTAATGAAAATCTGCCCCCTGTCTGCAAGAATGCATTACCTTTACAGGTAAGCATATGTAGGGTTGAGTTTTGTTAAACTGGACAGAAAATCCAACGAGTGAGCACAAGTTTCCCTAGCGCCACTGTTTAGGAGAGCATAGCCGCATTCTCCATTGAAAAACAATGGCCTTCCTCTGTGCAGTGGCTGTGTCTTTGGTGTGAAGGTCGTGCACACACACAAAAAAATCCCCAAAACCACATGAAGTGACAGAAACAGAGAGAGTTAAAACACTATCTCTGAGGAGCCCTGGCATGGTGCATCAGGGCCACGGTGCCGATAGGGCCACCTTGCTACTGCAACACCCTCTGATCCTGTATCAGTGCCCCCCACACTCTGATTTTTATCTGGCAGTTGCACCCGGGGGGACTTTTTCTCTGGCATACAGCGGGATATTTTGCTTAGGACCAAGCCCTTCCTTGTATTTTACAATAGCAGACCCCTGGCCGGCGCTGGGCAGAGGGTGCAGTACAACAAGAACAATCCCTCCCCGAACTCTGTTGTGACTGGAAATACCAACACCAGTTCATCATGCAAACAGTCTTTTACAAAACTGCTGTCCTGGGATGGTGACTCCCAGATAACACACCAATGACAATGGCACCCAAAAAGGATTTAAAATGTATCAAGCTTATGGTTACCGTACCCAACGAAAGTTACGAATGCAACTACGGTTCTATGAATCCTGGATGACCGCCGCCAGAGGCTGTGCCCCGGGTTAAGCACTGCCTCTGGCTGACCGTGAGGATGAAATGGAAAGATCGTTACATATTATGTCATGAAGGAATCATTTGTTCAGATTGTAACCACAGACAACACACAGGGTCCCAAAATTACAGGCTCCAAACAGACAGGAGGTCACAGTTATAACTTGGTGGCTCAGAAGCCACACATATTAACCCTGATTACGGCTTGGGCACCAATATGTTACATGTTAACTCAGACTGGAGATAAATTAAGTTAAACTTTCATTTTAAGGGAACTTGTGCAAGAGCAGGGATGGGGAACTGTCGCAAAACCAAAGGGGGAAGGGGTTTGTGTGCTCCTACCTTGAGAGCCAGGGACACGATGCCCCAGGCAGTCCTCCTCCCCACAGATAGTTTGCTCTCTCACCACACCAACCTGGAACCCTGGGAGAAAAACAAACAGCATTAGAAAGGTGGACTTAGTAGAGGACAGATCCCCGCCAGGCGTGTCTGCAACGACTACTGCTGTATTGTGTGATTGAATGAACACAACCGTGTTCCCCCATCTAGATCGCAAGTGTATCACACGTTTTTCATTTGCACGCCTCACACAACAGATAGGCTCTCATTTTAATCTATGTAGATGTCTGCACCGGCTCTGTGCCAGTATGCGTCTCAGCTCCGTCTTACTCAGCTATGCAAGTGTAAACACAAGGTTGATGCCCAATAAAAAGGCAAGGAGTAACTGTGTCTCTGGCCGCAGAGCAGCGGCTTTGAAGCAGTCAGCTCTGTGTGTAGTTAGCTGTTAGCCAAACACAACGTTCAAAACAATTAAAACGTGGGCAAATTGTTTTCCGCATAGACATGCAGTCTATGGTTTTCGCACAATTTGTATTTGGCCGCAGAGAAGCGGCTGTGAAGCAGTCAGCTCAGCGTCGGAAATACACGAGGGCAAAGGGCAAAACTGCCCCTAAGAAATATGTTGCCCCCGATATCACTAGGAGAGGGGGCAAAAAATGCCCCCGAACTTTCTAAACGAATAAAAAAAATGGAGCGCTTCTTAAATCAGACCTGTGACTGCGGTCAACTCAGACACTTCCATGTTAGTGCATCTATATCCTGAAATTCACGGTAAACGCATTCAAACGGCGCAAATCGGGAGCGAGCGAAGGACTTTGAAAGTTAACGGAAAGATGAACGTGAGACAACATCCGGTTTATTCAGACGAACATCCGGTTTTCAGAATAAGATGCCAACAAAGTATACATATTGCATAATGGAAATTAGATTAAATTAATTATATTCACATTAAGTATAAAACATGCTACCTGCATCTCGTGAGTTAAAGGTAAAATACACCTAAATTGTGCGTGAAGTGTCTTTATTCTTTGATTTGAGGGTTGCTGGAAATGAACAATACCTGACTGACAGTCAATTAAGATATTTTACTAAGTAAAAACTCTGAACTGAATTTGTACCTTCAAATGGCACATTTTTAAAATTTTTAAGGTGCTATAAAAATGTTTCTCAAAAATTCCACACAATGACTAATGCATAAGTTCAGGACAAAAATGAGTAATATCACAATATTTGAGGTGCTACAAAAATATTTTTTCTCAATAATTCCATATGACTGATGTATATGTAATCAAGGCATCGTTGACTTAATAATTGTTAATAGTTGTTTAAAACATTTAATAATAACAATAAATAACCCCAAAGAAATAAGAATAAATTGAATATGATTGTCTGATTTACATTTGTTTTTTGTTAAAAAAAATCTAAGAAAACACTTTGAATCTGTAGACTACTGCTAATAGTCTTATTATTGCCATTTGATGACAATTGCTCATATACTGTAAGCCTAAATAAATATATTTATTATTTTGAACAAAGGTTAAATGTTATTTCATAAGTTTCAAAAAGTGCCCCCAATTTTTTGAAAATGCCCCTGGATTTCAGTCAGTGGGGGCAAAAGTTGCCCCAAAAAAATATGTAAATTTCCTACCCTGAGTCAGCTCTGTGTGTAGTTAGCTGTTAGCCAAACACAACGTTCAAAACAATTAAAACGTGGGCAAATTGTTTTCCGCATAGACATGCTGTCTATGGTTTTCGCCCAATTTGTATTTGGCCGCAGAGAAGCGGCTGGGGTTCAGTGATGCACTCAGTGGTGTTTTCCCTTGTGACCCCCTTGCGATAAAAATGAGTGAGGAGTCAGCTGGCAGTTAACAGCAGTATAAAATTCAAAAAAAGATGGTGAAAGTGAGAGTCAACGCAACCACAAGAGGTCCTTGAGCATGCAGCCATAACTAGTCACCTAAAATATTATACAGTTTGCTGAACGCGAGATTAGCCGTGGACAGACGCAGTGGTGCACACACACACACTCTCGGACGAACGGCTGGACACAAGCACTCACTCACACTTTCCACTAAATTGACTGATGATAAACTGGGAAGAGAGACTTTCACAAAACAGTAACATGTCATCCAAAGGGAAAAACAAGAATGGTTAATGTGTATTGCGCTGCAGCAAAAGAGTTACCAGGTAATGTGAAAGCACATGCCAAAGTGTTAGAACATATACTAATCATGTAAGCACTTCTGGATAGGACGCCCTTTTAAGTAAGGATCAACAACTGACATTTGTTTCATTTGGTTGTCCTTTGTAGCAACAACTTTCTGCAGTTAAACCATTGACAAACTAAACAGAGACCATGTCCACACTAATGCAGATTTTAGTACAGAATATCATGGACTACTAGACCAGATTGGAGGGTAAGATTGACTTCTTCCTGTTCCCACCAGCTCCTGCAGACTTCTGTTGCTGCTAATCCTATCCCACTCAGACCGTGACCATGTTAGGCTTCATTCCCAGTAATTATTTCCCACAGTGACTAAAGAACATAGGTACTGTTGGTGGCAACATAATAAGCATTGCATGCCTTGAGCAACTAATCATGCTCAAATGGCTGCAGTATATGGAAGAACGGTCAGGCGATTCCTCCTGACTCCCTCCACTCACGAGGCTTGGTGCTCCTGTCACAATACCAACGCAATACTATAATAAATATGAGGACGACCGGAGAAAACACTTCTTTTTTTTATTTTTTTATACTGGAATACAGAGGACCCTTATAGGGCCTCTAAGAGTGAGCATGACTTCAGACATATTTATAGATTTCTGCAGCCCTGCCTAAAGCCACATTGTTGTCTCTCATTTGATTAGTCTGCTATTGTATTAATAAGCAATGCAGGCTTGGGAAAATAAAACACAAGGCAGCTGTTGACCTTTTTTCAAACTATAAGATTAAACATGACAATCATCAGTGTTAGTGAGGTTGATAATTAACCATTTAACTGTTAACTGACATTAAGAATGAAGTACGTTTTCATATGGAAAGCATTTATTTACGGTCTTTTATTGAGGATATTTCAGTCACCCCTAAAACAAGCTATTACTGCTAGATTCATAGTACCCATCAACACACACACACACACACACACACACACACA